TTGTTTATTAGGAATCCTTTACTAATACTTTGGAGTCCATTAGCCAGCTTAAATCCCAAATTATTGTTTATGGTTACTGTGTCACTGCCCAAAAACAGTATATCCAGATTTGATTCAATTTGATCAGATTTTCCTAGATCAAATATTTTACTTCTTCTTTTGTTAAGCAAGCTTAAACCTTTATAACAACCGGCAAAGACTTTTCCACTAAATGTGGTTGGTGACAATGACTTTCTCGTGTGGTTGCAATCTGAAAAGTACCACTCAGTATCTCCAGATCTGGTTCAATTTGATCAGATTGTCCTAGATCAACTATTTTCACTTCTTCTTTGTTAAGCAAGGTTTAAACCTTTATAACAACCACCAAGGACTTTTCCACTAAATATGGTTGGTGACAATGACTTTCTCACACGGTGCAATCTGAAAAGTACCGCTTTCTCCTAAAGGTGTGTAAACTCCCTATGCTTTGTGGTTTTCCTGTGTGTCTCTTGGGGAAATTCTCCATTTGAATTGTTATTCGTCGCTGTCACAGTTGTCACAGATCATTTTTTGATCCTTTTTTACATTTTCAAATCACCCTAAGTGGTTTTGCTTGATCAAACCTATAACAAGTCCACTCCGACTCATTTTGAAGTTTGTTTTCTTTGGATGCGCAGCAAAAAAAAAGAACTTACCTTGACTGAATGCACTTTTTGAATGGTAAAGGTTCGATCATAGAACCTACTTGGTCTACCACATTCCAATCTATCCTTAAGATTGAGCCAAATCTATGATTTACCATACCCCATATGAACCATTGTTTCTGATGCAATCCACTTAATCTTCTAAGTTGCATGCCATTCCATGGTATTTGCTCTTTCAATTGACTAAAGATACCGAAATCTCTTCTTTTTGGGTACACTTTGCTTTCAGTCCATAGTGTTGCTCCATTTTTACCTTGTTCGTTACTACAATAGCAAATCCACATTCTTGGATCTTTATTAGCACACCAAAGGTCAAAACCATGTCGGTGTGGGACAGGCCAAAGCGGACAATTGAGATAGTTAATCCGGGGATATCACATCCATAGCATGACTCTTGAGTTTAATTCCTTTGTAGATGGGAACAACGATAACTATTCCCCTTATTGTGGGATCTTAATATTCCAGCTTTTAAGCATCAAATTTCTCTGATTATGCAGAACTCTTTGTTAAACTTGGCAACGCAACTGTGAGGCCTGAGCCCTGTCTACTTAAGATTCAGATGTGAAAGTATAAGGGTTTGTATATTGTGTCATCTTGAGATATATTTCAGATCTGATGATATTATTCATTTTGAATGGCAACTTCACTATAACTCCTGCTCGTAAGAAACTTTGGTTCTTAAAAATTGACATTTGTGTCAATCAGGAGACTGTTTTGACTAAACTTGGGGCTCCTACTTTGGATACAGTTATTGGGTTTTCTTTTTTCCTCCGCGTTAGAACGATACACCCTTTGGGTTTAGATTCCATAATGGAAGAAAGAGTAAATGAAGAAATTATGAAATCTTGGTGCATTTTCTTTTGCAAAATCTCTCTCTCTCTCTCTCTGTGATGCAGACATTTATTGGTTCTTTCATGTCTATTCTGAAACATGATGGAGGGTCCTTTGATTAAATTGAACTTGCTTTCTGAAGATGGAATATGCTAAATCCTTTTTTCCTTTTCTTTCATTGCTCTGCAGCGTACCGGAAGCTTGCTCGGAATTATCATCCAGATGTGAACAAGTGAGTTGGTTTTTCAATTTCCCTTTTATGCTATTCTGAGTTCTTTTAATTCTCCGTCAATGCCATATATTGTTTTGTAACTTTTGTTGGGATCAGTTCTCATTTCTAATGATGTGCCTTGCTGTTACCTAATGTCTACCATTGAAAAGTTGACTGTGGTGTGATAGTTCCATAATTGTTAGACTTGGGAGTTTCTCGCCATGGTTTGTTTACTTGCTAAAAGTTGCACCAAATATCCAGCACCAGCAGGGACTTCTCATGCTTTAATAGACTTTGACCGTGCTCTGTCCCTCTTTCTCTAGTACACACACATGTACATGCGTGCACGCACACACAGCTACCAAAAAGAAATGGAAGAAGAATAGTTGCATTAATCATTTTAACAATTCTAATGCTTTGTGACCAGTTTCAGTCATCCTCACATAATTTATATATATGATTATGTTATCAAGTATCTATTGGTGTTAGTTTCTGGGGAAAAATGATTTCAAAAGTAAATATTACCAAAAGCAGCCGTTCTCAATGTTGGGGTTTTTTTGTATGCATGTCCATACTTGTGCTTTCCCATCTCTAATTTTGAGTGAGTCCAACAAGAATTTAGTTCAGGGGATGCATGGGCAGATCATGAATTGAATTTGAGGCCTGTAATCTAAAGTTAGCAGCATGAATTGAATTTGAGACCCATAATATAAATCTAGCTGCTAGCTTTAGATTACGGGCCTTAATCTTGTTCTTTCAAGTTCTTTGAGGTCCTCTTTCGCCGGAGTAAGATGGTGAACATGCAGTGGATTCCCAAATTTTTTTTCTTCTTTTCTTTTTTCTTCCTTGCTGTCTCAATTATTCTGATTATTTCTATTGCTGCAGAGAGCCAGGAGCAGAACAGAAGTTCAAGGATATTAGCAATGCTTACGAGGTAAACAAACTCATTTTTTTTTTTAAATCCTTTTGGGATTGGTAGAAGTTCACTGATGGGCACGGAGGGATAATTCCATGTTACATTCTGGAAAGCCCTCAGATAAAACGGACTTCAGCATATTTACAAAATATCTATGCTCTCTAACACAATGTTTACATCCAAAGAGAGCTTTCCGCTAACTGTAGTGGGAAGTATGCATCCAATCTCCAAGATAGGTATCACGTGGTATGATATGAAAATCGTCTCTTTGGGGAACCGTTTCAAAAAGCTCAGTTGCTAATATTGTTGGGTCAGCATTTATATTCCTTTTTGCCTTTCGTTTGATTCTATCACCTCTCTTTAAGGCATTCGACTTCTTATCATGTATACGCTATGTTTCACCTCTTTTTTGGCAAATCCTTGTTTGGCGATTGTGCTTTATTTGCAAATCTGCTGCAGCAATTTTGCTGGCAATTGTAACAGAGCAAGTTATCTTTATTTAGGTCTTGTCAGATGATGAGAAACGGTCTCTCTATGACAAGTATGGAGAAGCTGGACTTAAAGGTGCTGGCATGGGAATGGGGGTAAGTTAATTTCTGCTCGTGATCAAAGCTCATGTAGATTCGTCAAGAAGTTCTGTTTTTGCTCCAATGTTTGCATTTATATAGTGGAATTATCATTTGTTGCTGCCAGGATTTCACCAATCCTATGGATATATTTGAGTCTCTCTTTGAGGGCATGGGCATGGGCATGGGCGGGATGGGTGGAATGGGCATGGGAGGCAGAGGTTCCAGGAACAGACCTGTTGATGGCCAGGATGAATATTACAATCTTGTTTTGAATTTCAAGGAAGCTGTCTTTGGTGTTGAAAAAGAGATAGAAATAACCCGCCTCGAGATCTGCAGCACTTGCAATGGCTCTGGTGCAAAACCGGGCACCACTCCATCCAAATGCACCACATGCGGTGGTCAAGGCCAAGTTGTGACATCAGCTAGGACTCCATTGGGTGTCTTCCAGCAAGTAATGACATGTTCGACCTGCGGTGGTACTGGCGAGATATCTACCCCTTGCAACACATGCTCGGGTGATGGTCGGGTTCGGAGGACAAAAAGGATAAGTTTGAAGGTGCCTGCTGGGGTGGACTCAGGTAGTCGCCTGAGGGTTCGATCAGAAGGTAATGCAGGAAGGCGAGGCGGGTCCCCTGGCGACCTCTTTGTTGTGATCGACGTGCTTCCGGACCCAGTCCTCAAGCGTGACGACACAAACATCTTGTACACCTGCAAGGTATCATACATCGATGCGATCTTAGGGACCACGATCAAGGTACCAACTGTGGATGGCATGGTTGATTTAAAGATCCCTGCCGGGACGCAGCCGAACACGACTCTTGTGATGGCGAAGAAGGGAGTTCCTTACTTGAACAAAAGCAACATGAGAGGCGATCAGTTGGTCAGGGTGCAAGTGGAAATCCCGAAAAGATTGAGCAGCGACGAGAGGAAGCTTGTTGAGCAGCTCGCCGATCTAAGTAAAGGCAAAGCGACAGCCAGCAGAAGATAGTGGCTTTCTTGGTTCTTTTTCCATTTTCGATTTCTTTTTCCCCTTTAATTTAAGGTATCATAGATTTGTCAACTACAAAAGTTAGTAATTAGTACAAGATGTATAAGGTCCATAAGTTATGTGAGGGGGCGAGCCATGTATGGCGATTGTTTACTGATTCAAATTTTGTGAATCCCCCTATTTTGACCTTCTGAACTGCTCTACGATGGAACAGAGCCTCAAATGATTTCTTCCGCCTTTCTGTTGTTGTAAACATTTTGCCATCTCCGTCTCTCGAGACAACAAAACATCAAACGACTTCTTTTTTCCCCATACCCGGTTGTAACGGAGAGAAGTGTTCCTTTTCGCTTATTACACTTGATTGGGGGGGGTCCTCCTTGGTGTCAAGTGAAATGTCTATTGCGTAGTCTTTTTATCTTTTTGTCTTTTTTGTATAAGATGAGCAATTGAACTTTCAGCTCGATCAATTTTCACAGATACTGCATATTCTTCCCTCTATATATATTGGATATTCTCTATCCTCAGGATGGTGCATGACCCTGCATCATTTTGCGCGCGAAATGTAATTTCGACATTCGTCGCATCTCACCAAAGCGTTTCATCATTTAGCCAACCCCTGTTAAGAGAAAGAGACGGTGCAATTGCTTGTGGTCATCATTTTTACTCTTTATGAGTATACTACTTCTAGTCACAATCCAGTGGAATGTTGCCCCCTATATATTGGTCATTTATCAGCTGTGTGTTTGCCATGTATCGTTGAAAGGCAAGTAACGGAAGAAATTTACAACCCCAGCCAAACTCGTAGAACAATTTTTCATGACAGATGAATAGAGATCCAATTTTAAGGCAGAAAATACCATATTTGGCTCCGCAGAACATATCGTTGTAGCACAAACGCCCACAACCATTAAAACAACCAGTATCCTTAGAAATGGTTGCGTCATACTTCTTACTGTTAATGCTCCCTCGTACCGCCTCAAGGGCAAAGCAAGAACCACAATGGTCGATCACTACACCCCACCCCTGCTACTAGGTATGACTGAGTGCGCTTTCTTCTGTTACATTTCAGATAACATTCCACAGGAAGTACAGGCCAACAGCTAGAAGTTGATCAGCAAATCCATATTTCAAAATTACATACTTTCGGAAGAAGATCAAAGTTCATGAATCGAAGCCAGAGTAAATACCACTATCTCTCAATAGCCTCTTCTCTTCTTCGACATAATTCTTCCCTCTGCTGGCCTGACCAAGCTCTCTCTTCCGCTTTTCCTTCTGTGAGAAGGAAAGATTCTTCTTCTCTTGCCGGGTTTGAACATCCGCCAATTGCTCTCCAGATGCTAACGCTGCTCTTGTTCTTTGCCGATCTTTGAACGATTCATCGGCATCCTCGGTCTTACGACCTTCCCTCCCGGTGGACCACGACCAGTCTTTCTGGTCATCCTCGACTTTTGGAGGGGGCACTCCTAAGACCGATAACCCGCCCTTGAAACCGTGTTGCTTCAATGCTTCAAAACTCATTCCACCACTCTTCTGCTTTCCAAATTTCCCTGTATTTATGCATCTAAATCAATGTTAAATTTTCTGGTGGAAGTTAATACTTTTGAACTGGGAAGGGAGAGAAAAATATAAAATTTGGACAATCCACAAGTGGAGTAAGATCCATAATCAATAGGACCCACAATATAATGATGGTGCACATTAACGAAAAAAATTACTCCATCGATCTGTTTTTGTATTCAGATAAACGATATTCTCCACTAATCAAATATGGTTTCTATATATACCTCTGCAAAGGCTATATCATCTCTATCCGTACGCAATAAGAAAATGCATGACATGATCATTTAACTTTTTGTTTTTCCCCCTGTAGAGATACACTTAGCTAATTGACTGAGGTGAACATATCTGGTTAAGAAGGTAAAAAATGTTGGAGATAAGCCAATGCCATCACATGGACACAATAAAATGATTCATGACAGAACAATGCATTTAATGCAATATTAGATACTTACACAAAAAATGGATAGGAGTAAAAGAATCCTTATAAATTATAGATGTGTTGGCATGAACTAAAGGCATGTAATTAACACGATGATACATCTTGTCACCTTATGTAAGCGATGAACTTATCATACCAACTAGCTTAACTATATAAATGGCAAAGCTAACATAAGATTAGTACCTTTGGAAGATTGTTCACTCCTAGATTTGTTCTTATCTTTCGTCTTCCCAACGCCATCATCAGATTCATTATCTGAATGCGATGACGATTCTTCAGATGAGTCCTCTTCCTCATCACTCCAAGGCATTGCCCTTTTCATATTTGAGCTCTGAAGAGCAACGGAAAGGTATAAGAACCGCGTAGCAAAAATCAAAATGTCAATTACAGTGAAGGAACACATAAGTCCAACCACGTATGCCACATTCAATAAAATCTAATTTTTTCACCGCCCCTATCATTTTGAACACCAACTATAGACGGACTAATATGTGAAATCTAACTAAGCCATTTCCGGTCTCTAACACATCACTACGCTTCCTTTACAACTGCCGGAACACAAAAGACGACCATCCGAGACACGACCAGCGGAACTTCTCGACAAGTAATTCAGCAATTCGACATTCGGTAGCCACCCATCGTCAACCGCCCCTAGCGGCACTAGGATTCGGAATATGAGCAACATAGACTCGTTTTCCTTTCTTCTGCCAAGAAAGTGGTTGCAGCATACAAGAAATCTGAAAACAATGAATCAAAAGGACACTCTTTTGCCCTATTACTACTTCATTTACCACACTTAATCTGCCGGTGTTTGACGAAAGATTCGATTTTTTTCCTCAATACTCAGGAAGGTTATGTCATAACAGTACTACCTGAGCAAAATCAAATCCAACACAAATGATCGCCAAACAAGAAGGCGCTTATACCAAAACAGAGCCACATGCTTCGAAATCGAGCACGTAATTGAGAGGCGGATTCTACTGCGGACAAAGGAATTGCAAGTTTCGAAACGAGCAGAGGATCTGGGGGGGAAAAAATCGAATTACCGAATTAGGGTTCGTCGGTGACGGCTATTCCACGACCACGAGCCGCGCGATGAGACGATAGAACGATGGCGTGGCTTCTTATTTCTGTTGACCGGCGCGACCTGTCGTTTTGACCGCCCGCTCCCAAGGCAGGGCCTAAACGACATTAGAAACGGCTGGAGTACCCGAGCAATCGTTCGGTGGTGGATCGACCTCCAGACCCGAAAGTTTCCCCGGAACTTCGGCCCCGGCCACGAGGCCGTTAGGGTGGCGGGGCCGCCTCTCGGGTGGCCCCGGGATGGTCGGCGGGGGTGGCTGGGGCGTGGTTCGGTCGATAGCTGGCAGAGGTGAAAGTGGATTTTTCGAGTTTACAGGTAAATCTTTTCATCGACACCGAAAATATTTTCGACCACTAATTTTCCTAAATGAGACTCGATATAGTGATAAATGAAGACAGTGTTTTTATGATCTATGTTAGTAAAACACTCATAGTTTTCTGCATGATTACGTGCTTTTCATTGAAATTTCCGTCTCCCGCACGTTTATTTAACTTAAGGGTACGTAGTCGTTTTTTCAAAAGAAACAAATTACACATGTATAAAACACTCACCATGTTTTGCTTCGGTGAAAATACTTCAGTTTTTGACTAATTACAAATCTTATCATTAGTCAATTAATAATGTTTCGTGTCAAATTACCATTTACGAAACAAAGTCGTAAATATATCATCACATATACACACAAAAGAATATATTCTTTTGATTTCCAATTTGATACTATGACGTAGTAATGAAAGTGTGAAACTCTCAAATGTGACGGCTTTATAAATCTTGTAATTTTAAATGGTCATATTTTTACATGCGAGTTTTTCTTATGCATAACACAATTTATATAAAACTCATGACAATACCTTTTCTAGATCATATTAAATAACGCCGAACTTGGTTCTTTCATGTTGTTTTGATATTAATTGTATATAGATCTTCCAAGTAGACCCGAATATGAGCATAGTGGCCTATTAGCCTGCCGTGGCTCAGCCACTAGGCCTGAAGCATAAAATCAAGCAAAAGCTCGAACGAGCATATCTTTTATTTTGCTTGACCGGGCCTATCCGTTTAGGTTCGATCACTCTTATGAAAAAAGAAGTTAATATATTTTATATTTTAGGTGGCCTGAGTTTGAGCAACGATCAATACCTTTAAGTTTATCACCCGACCCGACCTGAATTGACCCGACCGGTCCCTTCTCGAGGCCTACCTTAAGGTAAAGGCTCGTGAGGTTGACAATAAGGTGATTCAAAGAACGAGTGGAAGCTCTTCTAAGACAAAGGGAATTGACCAAGTCCCAAGTCAGTGTCAAAAGAGAATCTCTTGATCTATGGGAGTGGACCTGGCTATGCGTATTGTCATGTTATGAACAAAGTTCCAGCCGTTAAAGCTTGAATTCCACTGTTCACATTCCTTCATTTTGAAAACAAGCCACAAAACCAACCACGAATCGAGTACATACAATGCCAGAATGAGTCAAGCAATTCCAACCATTCAGCTTATAATGAACAACAGTCGTCGTTCCCACACGGTGGCATGACTATGTTTCGGTACCTTTCGAGACTAGATTTTCTTTTGCGCATTCTAGAAATCTTTGTGATTGACATGAAATTACTGAGCACGGATCTCCTACATGCTTCCTTAGAATCTTAAATTCCTTTGTCTATGTGCTAGCAGTTGCATTCTCTCAACTGTACAAACGCATACTAACTTCGTTTGGACGATGTTTTTTTTTCCATTTTGATTGCGCAACATTGGAGAATCGCATCAATCCACAGAAACATAGAGAGGCCCGAGAGGGAGAACACCACCATGAATCGTTTCGTAAAGCATCGACCATGATATTATGCTCTTTATTTGAATGGTTATCATCCCTGTCTTTACGTTGCAGCGTGGCCTTTGAACGAGGTGTAGATAGTGGTGATGGCAAGAGGAGGAGGGTTGCTGTCATTGGAGGGATATTGGCTTTGGTGTTGAGGCTTTAATTTGACCTTAATCCAAATTGATCTTTAACATATGGTGAAATGTGATGGAAGATACGTGTGTCCACGCAAAATTTAGGCTGCTCTAAGACCACCCAATCTCTCGCTTGTAGACAAGAACTTTGCCTTTTGAAATTGGGTCTTGCAAATACGAAAACCTAGTAATATGATCCGTATTCTTTCAAATCCGATTTCAAGATGAACAAAATGATATCTAAGGAATTGTCATGCCGAATCATATCATTCTCTCTCTCTCTCTCTCTCTTTCTCCCTCCATTCACGTTATAGATATTTTTCTTGGGCAAGACGAATGAACGTGGACCCTATTCACCGTAATTGTTAGATAATATGGGCCTCGCATAAAGAAAATTTTTACTCAGATTTAGGTTTATGGATCACATGATATCACATCCGTTGATCTTGTAGTAGTCCACATAAGGGCTAACGAGGGATCTACCAGATCAAGATTGTGATTGTGGTTATGGTGTATTGGTCCCGGGTCCAAATAAAAAGTTCCCTCTTATGAATTCCTATGATATGATGAATTATGTTAAATTTGGACGCGCATGTGCCCCCGTTCAATCCTAAAGCAGTAAAAGTCAACAACTGTGGCATGTTTGCCTTTTCAATTATTGGTGGCATATCTATTAGCCCGAGTAATAATTGGGAAATAAATCAACACTATGATTGAAGAAAGAAGTTCATGGAAAAGGAGCACATTCTCTCTCACTCTCTCTCTACACATAGGAAGATTATTTACTATAGTTAAAAGAAAATGACAGGCCACATGTATTTCTTACCTTCTTGATTGATTAATAACATGCATATGGCAAAACATGGATCTACCTATAACATTTGATACAATGACTATTCAAATTGGCTACAAATGCTAGTAGTGGAAGCTTCACCCTACGAGTAGTGATTAGCTTGCTCTATCAACATAGTTCGTTATGGATTCCCAATTTGTAAATTATGAAGATTAGGGCTTTCTATGGACTGCTTTGCTGTCTCTTCCTATTAAATTAACTTAATTCTTGGGCTTTTAAACTAATAATCTACTTGATTGCCAAGAGCTTTGAAATGTGAAAAAAAAAGGGAGGAAAAATTAGTTTAGGGGAACCGGACACAGTATCCCACATGCAGCATGTGTGGATTAATATTAGTCAATTGGGACAGCAAGCCTGGAAGCAAAATCCAAGAAATTGCTTTGGCCTCATAAGCTAATGAATATGCATATATTGGGTTGAATTCAATTAAAAATGCTTGCTTTCTCCAAGACCCAAGAAGATTGCAGTGGCCTTGAACTCCAAATGCCCTAACAAGATCCTATTTCTCTGTGCTTAAGCACTTTTTCCCATTAGGGGTTGCAGCTTCCCGTGCACAAGAAACTTCCCCAGTAATTCATGCACTTTCTCATGTTGCTGGTTGCCCAATCTTAATGGAGTTTACAATGAACCAAAAAAAATGGGACCATTGTCTTGGTTCTCTTGGACACATGTCTAGATTGGGTCAAAAGAGACTCAAAATTCCATAGCATACATGGAATTTGTTATGCTTGAAAGCAACAGATAATGTTCCCTTTGTTTAAATTATAAATAAAAGAAACAGATACATAGAAGGTGAAGTTAGACAGGAGACCACACTAGGAGTTCTGAATCTCTCTCACAAAGCACAAGCATGTAGCTGATATGTCTTCTTCCCTGGTCTGGTTCAACCATTCACAGCTCAAACCCCAAAAATTCTATTCTCTCAAGAAAATTCTGGGACATTGCTATGAACACTGTCCTCAACATTCCCCTGCAAATTTGCAAGCGTAGCCAACATTCTCCTCAAGAAGCGACGTCAAAAGACTAAACTTTTCAATCTAATCTCTAATCTCAAAGCGGGGTTTAAGCAACAAGATAAAATCTTTTAGGTACTTTATTACTCCCTCTTTCACCTTCTGCCATGGTGAATGAGGCAAGCCCAACCTGATTTTGCAAAGGGAGTGAAAAGAAAATATCCATCTAGTTAGAGAAAGCAAGACAAATCTGGATAGCAAAATATTAAAAAAGGTACATAAAAAAAGTTGACCCGACAGATCCGATCCGTTTTGACCGGTCACAATAGATAATGGGTATCGCATGAACTCGTTTTACTAGACTAAGTGAATCATATGTTAGGAATCTACTTACTTTTTACACTGTAACATTCATTAAATGAGTAAACACAGTATTTCTATCAATTGCTTTATATTGTATATAATATTCTGTTTTGAGGTGCAGTCAAGCCATTGTGAATATTAAAATTAGTAAAAATTTGGGAATTTGTTTTGCCCCCTGTATCTATTCTTTTGACCGGAAAAAAAAAACAAGAAGGAAAGGGGAAAAAGACCATTGTCTCTTCCCAAGTACCCAAGCTTCGGCCAGCTCTTGGATTGGAACTTTAAAGAAAAAAAGAAAAAAACTTGAGCGAGCCGAGACCTCTCTCTCTCTCTCTGCACTTTATTCCTCTTCAAATTCGATACTTTGCTCTGCCTCTGTACCCCCAACTCAACGAGGTTTTTAGTTGCAAGAAACTCTCTCTCTCTCTCTCTCTCTCGCTCTCGCTCGCATTGTCTTGTTCCACGCTCGGAATCTCATATTCTTACTCCCACGCATCATTGGTCGTCCTTTCTCGTTACCCCTCTTTCTCCTTCTTTGTTCTTCTTGTTTACCTCTGTTTTAACTAGTGTTTCCTCTACCAGTGAACATTGAAAAAGAAAGTGAGGCCCGTATTACCCAAGTGGGGTCGCTCTTCCTTTTCTTTCCTTTGCTCTGTTCATTAAACCCAGAAAGTCGAAAATGTTCAAAAGCTGAGATTTCCAATGTAAAATCCTTATTATTTCATTATTTCCCCATCACCTGAAATCGAGGGAAGTACATCTCTTCTCTCTCTCTCTCTCTCTCTCTCTCTTCTTTTTTTGCTCTGTTTTTCCGTCTATTAAAAGGTCGCCCACAAGTCACAGTCACTCCGGACCCCCTTCGTTCTTGTATTCCTGTTCGTTCCTTCTTCCTTGTGTTGTAGGTTCAAATTTGTCAATTTGAGCCTTTGCAATTCAAGAACTAGGGAAGTCACTATAACCCCTTTTGGCGAGAAGATAGATGATCATACAGTGACTCTCCCTCTCTTGCTCTCTCTGATCTCCTTATCATCATTTGCTAATGCTTACTATAAATGGCGAAGCTTTCGTGGCCAAAGACATTGGTGAAGAAATGGTTCAACATCAAAAGCAAAGCCGTGGATTTTCAAGCTGATGACATCGTTTACGGAGGTGATGACCCATCATATCTCTTGGTTTTTTTGTTCACCTTTTATTTTCTGGGTTTGGTCTTATACAATTAATACTGTTGCTTTTGTTCCTCAACTTCTTGGTACTGTTCTAATGAAGGGTCTTCTTTTTCCCTTCCATACGCAGCTCAAGATCTGCCATTTGTTTCTATTCCCTTTTTCTCTCTTTTTTTGGCTCTGGAACTTATTTGTGGCCATTAGTTGTAACTAATGAACCATCTTTTTTTTGGTTTTTTCTGATGACTATTCATTAGGCGTTATGCCACAAAACATACAGTGCCAGAGAGAGAGAGAGAGAGAGAGCAGCTTTAATGACTTCATCGTTTTTCTTTTTCAGGCGTTGATGAAGAACCAGGGGACATCAATTCAGAGAGGAGAGAGGCATGCAAAATCAAGAAAAGCAAAACAGGTGCACTTGTATTGACATCTTCTTTAATTTCTTTGTGGAGGACCACTTCACCTTTATTCCACACCTTAATCTAGCAACCCAGTCAATGCTTTAATTCAGCTCAACCCTTTCTTTAGTTTTTTTTTTGAGATGATATGGCTTCCCTTAAACTTTTACTAATCTCTCATAAACCCCACTTGGGATGGCAGAGAGATCTAACAAGAGAAACTCCGACCGAGCCCGGCGAGGTAAGATTGACCTTGATGCCTCGCAAGTCACAGATGTGCACAATTATCGGTATGTCTCTTTTTTTCCTTTGAGTTTTTCCAGGGGCGAACGATGAATCTTTCTACATTGTGCTAATATTGAAAGACAGAATTTTTGTAGCTACATGGAATGTGGCTGGGAAATCTCCTCCTAGCTATTTGAACCTTGACGAGTGGCTCCATACTTCGCCTCCTGCGGATATATATGTCCTTGGGTACATTCTTCGATTCAATTTGGATTTAATTGATGTCGTAGAATTTTCCGAATATGCGATGCTCTGCTAATCACTCCTCTGGCTTTCAGGTTTCAAGAAATAGTACCTTTAAATGCCGGTAATGTTCTGGGAACAGAAGACAATGGCCCGGCCAAGAAATGGCACGCTCTCATAAGGAGGACCTTGAACAGTCTTCCTGGGACCAGCGGTGTCTGCCATACGCCTTCGCCGATTCCTGACCCGATCGTTGAGTTGGATGTTGACTTCGAAGGGTCCACGAGACAGAAGGCTTCATCCTTCTTCCACCGCCGGTCTTTCCAATCCTTGAGTCACAGCATGAGAATGGATCATGAGATGTCGTTGCCACAGCAACCACGGCTTGACCGAAGATTCAGTGTTTGCGACCGGGCAATGTTCGGACACAGGTCGAGTGATTATGATCCCAACTACAGATGGTGTTCGTCTGATGATGAAACCGGGCCAACTGATTCCCCAGGACATGGTTACTACTCACCAACAACCTATAACAGGTCAAATTTCAATGAGGATAGAGAGAATCAGATGGTCCAATCTAGGTACTGTTTGGTTGCGAGCAAGCAAATGGTGGGGATATTCCTCACAATATGGGTGAGGAGCGAGCTTAGAGACCATGTTCGCAACTTGAAAGTTTCATGTGTAGGAAGAGGATTGATGGGTTATCTTGGAAACAAGGTCCGTTCCCTGCTCATTGACACATTCATTGATTCGTAAGCCACAGGACGAGTCTAGGATGAAGTGTGACAAATTCTTTTCCTCTGGATTTTCTCAGGGTTCGATTTCGATTAGCATGTCTGTGCACCAAACGAGCTTTTGCTTCATCTGCAGTCATTTAACATCTGGGGAGAAGGAAGGGGATGAGCTGAGGAGAAACTCGGATGTCATGGAGATTCTCAGGAAAACAAGGTTTCCCCGAGTCCACAGCATGGGCGATGAAAATTCTCCTGAAACAATTCTCGAGCATGAGTAAGGTTCTTTGCCTCTAATTTGCTACTGAATATCAAGATCGACTTGGTATCACCGATTCGAATAAATTTTTGAGCATGCTTTTTCTGCTTTTAGTAGCCAGTTGATTGAGTCCCTACCATTTAAATCACTAGAAGTGAGTCAGATTTGCAAACCCACTGCCAGTTTTTCTTACTTTCTTGTGTTGTTCATCTTAATGCAGTAGAATTATTTGGTTGGGCGACTTGAATTACAGGATCGCGTTATCATACCGATCTGCAAAGGCTCTCGTCGAGATGCGAAACTGGAGAGCACTGCTGGAGAATGATCAGGTATGTTGCCTTGCTATTTCCAATGAAACATTCCTTTTATCGTCTTCTTTATGTACTAGGAACGGTGAATTCAGTCAATCTAAGATTTTGCCCAATTCTCAGCTCCATAGAGAACAGAGAGGTGGGCGCGTCTTTGTGGGGTGGAATGAAGGGAACATTTATTTTCCTCCGACATACAAGTATTCAAACAATTCTGACAGATATGCTGGAGACGATAGGCACCCGCGGGAAAAGCGAAGGACTCCAGCATGGTAATTTGCTTGTCTCAGTTTATATGGCAGAATCCTCTTCGGGTTAGACCCGTATTTCCCATCATCACATCATCTCTCGACTACCGTCACATGCAGGTGTGATCGTATATTGTGGTACGGTAGAGGCCTCAATCAGTTATCTTATGTGCGTGGAGAGTCGAAGTTCTCTGACCATAGACCGGTATATGGCGTTTTTTTCGCTGAGGTTGAGTACATAAACCGGAATCGAATAAAAAAAAACATGAGCTGCGCTAGTTCCAGGATCGAGGTAGAAGAATTGTTGCCCTATTCAAATGGATACGTGGATGTCAATTTCTATTGAGGGATGGAATCTTCATCAAACTCGAATTGGAAACTTGGAGTCTTCGACAAGAAAACAAAGAGTTAACAACTACAGCATCTATCGAGGTATCACAGTTAAATGATGATGAAGAAACATCTGTACAATTCGTTTCATTTAATTGTGATTCCAATCCTCATATTGATTCCATCCTACAACTAGCTGTTTAACAATATGATCTCTCTTATTGTTATTGCTATTGTATGTGTAGCTTTAACGACTGAAATTTCCTCTTTTTAAATTTTATGGTGTTCAATTTCATCAACAAGAGCCGAATGTTAATAGATTGGTCTCGACCTTTCAGATGAGGTGGATTATAATGATGCTCTGACTTCTGTAACCATTATTTGAATGCCGAATAAACATCTGGACAAGTTCTGTTTAGCTATTTAGACAATCATCCTCTTCCATTATCGAAGTTTTGTTAAAACAAATATTCACTCAATTCAGTTCTCATCTCTGATCCGGTGTAATTTGCAGGTGGACGCTGCGACAGACATTAGCGTTCCCAGAAAATGACAAGGACACATTCCACTGCCCCTAAATCAAATACAAGGTTGGTTCTTTTTACTTCGCTTCTTGCTTTGCCTCAAGTGCTCTTCCTCAGCTGGGCACTCCAAGACTAGACATACCTTTGCCTTGTCATAACAGGTTCCTAATTTGCATTTTGCCGCCAATGCTACCTTAATGAATTCTGGAGTCATCTGTTGGGAGAAACTCACTACACTCAGCAAGAAATCGCAAGTCATGAGGTGAATGAGCTGTCCTCATTTATATAACCATAATAGCTTTTCGAATTCGGTTTCTATACCTGCCTATCAAGCAAATGTCACGCATACCCTTATGAAGGTTTTTCCATGAAAAGTGATTTGAAGCTTGCAAAATATGCAGGATAGACTTTAGAAAGATCAAAGTTCAGCCTAGTGGGAAGCATTGGAGTTTTCTGAAAAGTGCTTCTCCAGATCAAAGTAGGGGAATTTCTGGGATGAAGAGAACAGCACAACCTTCTGATTCAATGCAATTATCATGAGCATTTCTCAGTTTTTGGCCGAGGGTGACTTTTAACAGAGAGAGATAGCGAAAGATGATGTGTATCTCTGCAACCAATTCATAGGTCAATAGTAGTGGAATAAAGAAGTTCGATGCATATGATTGTTCTGGGCCTTCATTCTTTTTTTCCCTTTTCTTTTGCAGCAGTTGAAAATGAATTTACTGGGAAAAAGCTTTTTGCAAGGCTTTGTCATGCCTCGACCCTAAAAAGAGAGCTCTTGAAATAAAGCGGGGTCATTTGCAGGTTTCACTATCTTGTGGTGTGTTGAAAAGCAAAAACTCTGCCAGAGCCTTGCACTGCTTACATGGTTGTCAGGTTTTTTGTACAGTGGATCGTCATTTGTATTTTGTAAGATCCCTCCGTTTTTGTTTTCTCCGTTGTCAAATGGTCTCTTTTGGTCAACAAGGGGCCAGTAACACCTTATGACAAGACTGTTTATGAGTATAGGTTAGTGTGTATCCACACCATTCATTATTTTTTCGATGCAGAAATTTTGACAAAGCACACAAATGTTCAAATTTCGACTTTTCCAATGACCTCGCTCATGTATAGCTCGGGAAACAAAGAGAAGATATGTACCAACGATATATGTAGCAACAAGAAGAAGGAAAATGATTGAATAGAGGAACTCCCTAACATTTGGAGGCAAGATAATCTAGTGTTTGAATCTCGTCTTTTGTTACGGATCCTCTTATACGGAGGCGAAAAAACATTCCGGTACGACCGAATTAATCTCGAATTTACAATTGGAGTTCGTCACCATGCATAAATTCAGAAATAGCTGGATCCGCTCTTCACTCGAATGCAGAATGACCTTTGTACTTGTGTCATTAATGTTGAAGTGGGCACTCACCTTCCTTTTCATGTAGTAATTTATCCGTCATAATTTAATTATGAGCTATATTTTCCTCCAATTGTATCATAAATCGGTGAGTTATGTAAATTACAGAGTACTAACATGCAAACTTAATTGAATGTGAATGGGTCGACGTTCATGTTGATTGTAACTTCCAATTAGAATACTGGTTTCTCCTCCAATTAGGGATGGAGGAAAACTTGACCTTTTAATAATTTGCATGCAGTGTGAGAAGCTATGTCGTCGCGGGATACACGAGTATGAAGGAAGATTGCTTCGTTTGAGTTTTTTTTAGCACCTTATTGAATTAGATTAGATTCCGACCAAAAAAAAAAAGAATTAGAATAGAAAGGAATTAAAACAAACTAAGAGAAGAGCACGAAAAGCGGAAAAATTGTCAAATCAGTCCTAAACCTATTGTACGGCGGTCAATTCAGTCCTAAACCTTTTAATTTTGCTAATTCAGTCCTAAACCTTTCTAATTCTTGCCAATTCAGTCCTTCCGGCCAATCTTGGCCGGCCGGCGCTGACGTGGCCGCCGGCCGGCGTCGGCCAACGCTGACGTGGCAATTTTTTATTATTTTTAATCTTTTTTTTTTTTCTGATTTCTTCCTCTGGCCGGTCTGGCAACCGGCGGCCGGCCGGAGGGGAGGGCCGGCGAGGTCGACCTTGCCGGCCCTCCCCTCTGGCAGGCCTCGGTTCGCCGGTCGCCGGACCGGCCAGAGAAAGAAATCAGAAAAAAAAAGAAAAAAAAAGATTAAAAAATTGAAAAAAAATGTTAAAAAATTGCCACGTCAGCGTTGGCCGGACGGCCGTCGCCGGCCGGCGGCCACGTCAGCGCCGGCTAATCAAAATTGGCCGGAATGACTAAATTGGCAAGAATTAGAAAGGTTTAGGACTGAATTGGCAAAATTAAAAGGTTTAGGACTGAATTGGCCGCTGTACAATAGGTTTAGGACTGATTTGACAATTTTCCCCACGAAATGCTATTTATGTGGGAAATTGAGGGAGCATTAAAGGAGGAGTCCTACTAATGTCCACATTGAAAATGACAATATTTCTTTATTTAAATGTTTAACGAGCGCTCTGAGACTCACAGTAAGAAGGTGTCCCAAGATATTTGTCAAGCAATCAAATAAGGAAAATATCGCAATTCTCAATGTATTAATTGCTCTCGTGATTGAGTGATCTCATGACACTTGTTAAACATGCTTAATTAAGAATATTTTAATTTTCAAGACAGGAATTAAACATAACATGAGAAAAAAATAACACTTCGAAAACCATAAACTTTCTGCAAATGTTCGCTTAAAATATGTTTAATAACTGCCTCTAGATATTGGTTTTTGTTTGTCCCATCTTTAACTCTTTTCACTTTCTGATTTTTGCTCTGTCTCTTACAGAGCGCGAGAGACGAACTCGCACCTGTCATATTAATATTCCCACCCCTCAATTATTTTATCAGCACGGCCGCATACCTATGGATCTCTAGATACGGATTGCCTCTCTCTAGATATAGACAAACACACACAAAAGTCAAACTTGGGGCATTGGTACTCTGCAAAACCCTAACTTGAATGCCACTTATTAATGAGCTACATACTACTGGTCGTCATTGAATTGACCAGGAAGTGAAAAGCGTTGTGGATGGTGAATTGGGTCGATGCGCATGAACGCGTGTAGCTATCCAGCTGGTTCAATTGACCTACACGACTTACCCAGTTGCGTTTTGCTTCTTCTGGTCAACAACTCCCACCAATACGTAACCTGACATTGCTGTTGACAGTCTAATATAGAATGTCAAACACATCATAGACAAGAGGGTCGTCTCTGGAATTTAATAAAAACTGTACTTCGATTTGTGAAGCATCGATTATTAACGATGCAAAAAAAAAAAATTAAAAAAATCTAAAGAATTTCCAAATCTTCTCGATCTATTTGTTGAAAATTGACCGGATACTCGTTAACAAAATCTGTGCTTTGATACTTCCAAACATCGTGTTCACTGATTTTTGCCTCGAAATATTCTCCGCTAGTCTGAAAAGCCAATTTATTTGTCTAAGGTAAATATATGAGTTTATGTTTATATGTACAAACATATTAAAAATCGGTTTTCAATGTATTCTCCAGGATTTATCGATTTAGCACAACGGTTTCGTTTGTTCGTATATAGGACAACGGTTCTTAAATATTATTATTTTTCTTTGGCCATTTTTTGTTGGTTAAAAATGATATTTTAGAGTCGACCAGGAGGGCCGTCCACGATCTAATGGTCAGTTAACTTTAGCCTAAAATGGGGTACCTTTATCTTAGGTTTTGAAGATTATTGATATCAAAGCTAAAGCACAAGAAAATCACAGTCAAAACGTATAGGTGTCATTGAAAAATCAACCCATTTAAAACACAAATCTGACCTTTCGGTTCAAAATATCTTCGAATAAAACTAACAAAATATGTAGAGGAAAATCAGCTCAATAACCATTTATTGCACCCACAATTTTTTTCAAAAAAAAATTAATTTTATTATTTCGCACAGATTATTTCGTGGGTTGACAATGACAGATGTAATGGACAATAATTTTGCAGGGGGCAAATTGTTTTACCATGTTGACATTACAAAGTAATGAATTTTTTTTTTATTTTACATAAAAAAGGGGAAGAACTCTTGGTCCTGTCGAAGTGTCGCACATTTATGGATTGCCCCAAATTAGACTGAGGACACCCTCGACTCGACAAGAACAGGAGGGAATTCACGTACTACTGTCTTTAAATCGATTGCATGAAATATTTTGGTCACTGGGCTAAAACTCAGGGTGACAAATTTTTCACATGAGGTGAAAAGTATTGATTAAGTTTCAGACAAGGACGCCCGCGTGCACGAAAACGGGAAACGGCTTTTTGTCCATCATATGTTCTTCTTTTTTTGGGTCAAAATCCCTCGTACATTCGAATGGAGTTTCCAAAAGAAAAAAAACACTCAATTTTAGATTTAATTTTAATTCTGGCTCGAACTTGTTTTTTTGTCTAAAAACAATTCATGGCTTTCGCTCTAGTCCCAAATTTGCCAACGCGCCCAAAAGTCGCCACCGATTTTTCCAAAATTATTAATATCAGGATCGGTCGGAGGTTCATTTTCTGAATCCGAGTCTTCGTCAACATTCTTACCTTCGTATGGAACAACAACAACAACCTCATGATGTTAATAATCTTAAAGAAATTGGTGGCGAAGTTTTGGATACGTGGACAGATTTGGGATTAGAGTGATAGTTATGGATCTTTTTCAGATAAAAAAAAAAGTTTCGAGCGGAATCGAGATTTGACCTAAAGCCGGGGGGTCTTTGAATGCACTCGAATTCGTTCGTATACGAGTTTACGTGCCACGTATATACAAACTAAATTAGATCCGGTCTTACTTTGCATTAAATACTTCTCCATTATTTACTAGTCTCTATGCACTTTTACCTAACTATAGCTTATTTTTATCAGCTCTTCCCTACCATCCAATTCTTTTTTCAAAAATTAATGACTGAATAACACTCATCAATAACCCTAAGTTTCCTCAACATGAGCCAACAATTGGTGACCCACTTGGCCAAACTGGTATTATTCTTTCATCTTTTTCGGCAGCCGACCTCACATGTCTTTGCTAGAGACAAGCTGCCTGAGAAGGAGACAGCATTGATCAAAGGTTGGTGCCTTGGTGGAGACAGGGCAAATCCTTGAGCAATTATTTAATTAATTTAGTAACTCATTTAATATGGTAGAGAGCTGGAATTTGAGACCCCCCCACCATGAATCTTGGTACGATTTGATTCGTTTCTCTATATCTATATTTTGGTCTCACCAGGTATTAATATAAAAATAACATCTCTCATGGTAAGATTTGACAACTTTTGTGTGGTACACCTGTGCCAAGAGATTGGTGGCTCCATCGTCCCACGGATTAGGGACTCGTGGGCCTCCAACTGTCGCCGTGCATTTATCCGAAGAAAATGCTCATACTATTTATTTTGAGTAAAATAGATCACCTTTAACATATTAATACTATTTTTGGATTGCCGATATTTTCTGGGATTGACGATATTAGACGAGACCCGTTTGAAATAGAACTCAAAATACAAAGAAAAATCCTCAAGGTGATACTATGCATGATTCTTGTAGTGTTTCGAATTGACATGACGTACATCGCGTGTCAATAATTTGGCTAGCTAAATAAAAGTCTTTGGACTTGAGTATGTCTTTAAAAGGTTTTGTCTCTTAAGGTCTATTCCTTAAGTCTTGGGGGATGTAAAACCTTAAGGGGATACTCCCTCCCAAAAATATAGGGAGAAACAAGAGAGCTTTGGGTTGTCCGGTTGCCATGACATAAAACATGGCGCGTATGCCTTCGGTCATCCTTAAATAGGGTTGGTCGGAGGAGCCCCAGAGTAGCAATGATCACAGGGGTTAAGGTCAAAACACAACCCCTGTGGGAGCATCCCTCGATTACCTTACCTTACATGTCATGTTTTGATACTAATACGGAGAAAAACGGATGATATATACAATTTGTTTTTTAATGGAAGAGGAGCGTGCCTTCGGACCATAGATCTGAATTCGATCCATGTGAAAATTTGACTCAAAATACCATTTGATTTCATGACCCAAAAGAAGAAATCTTGTGTCCTGGCCACTGAAACACTTCCAACAAGGATTAATAAAGAATAAGGCTGAGGCATCTTCCAAAAGCAAGTGCTTGACTTGATTTTCTGGTTGTGGACAGCTCTGACTCTCTCCCTGGGCCTTAATTGCACATAAATACTCATCAAAAGATGTGTTTTTGATTCTTTAATTAATGTTTTTCTTTTTGTTCTGCTTTTTGCCTAACACGACTACCGAAAGTTATCCTCGAAAAGCATGCATTGTAATCCTTCGGAGGAGACATTCTTCAAGCAATTGCCAAGAATCCTCCTTTGCTGTGAATTTTGCTTATTCAAAAGGATTAAGCAAGACCAACAATGGAATATTGAATTATTTTATAAGTGAAATTCATCTTTGCCCTCTGAACCAACTCATGTCTTGGCAAATTCGTTTAGGCCGAATAGAATGACATTACTTTCGAAATAAACGCCGGATAACCGAACCTTTCGGCTCAACTTCGTCCTCACAAAAAAATGGTCAATTGTTAAGAAGAAACACTTTGCCGAATTGAAAATCAACACTATTAGGTTTCTATATTGAGAACTTTATTTGGTGCCAACACAGATTGGCAAGTTGACCTTGCTCGTATTGTCAACAAAATTGGGAGCATTCTATTCCATTCACACATAGTAGTACATTGTCAACCATGGACAAAGATTTCGACCAAAAAACAAAAAAAACCACGGACAAAGATCATCAATAGGCAATGGAACAGGTCGCTGTTTTAAAAGTTTTCCTTTGATTAATGTTGGTTGCTTGTGGTCACTCATCAAAGGATCGACAATAGCATATCGCACTCCTTAGCGTATTAAAATATTACCAATCGCACTTTACCTTCCTTATTAGGGTAAAGTTTTACGACCTTGCAGTAGGTCGAATCCAAGTCTTCAAATATAGGGAAGGTCTTGAATTTAAATATTAACTCGGTTTCGGCATATGAAGACTAGACGAACTTTTTCATATTATTTTCGGTTGTTCGCTTAAGGAAAACAAACGGAAAAGATGTGAATACATCGTGAGATATTCAACAAGTGAACCTAGATCATTAGAGAATTAGATACATAATAATGGGTAAATGATGATTCTGATAGTCATGATCAAGCACACGCGACATTATAAACAATACAAAATATCACCCGATCTATTTGTAAAATGGGAAAAAAATCGGAAAAAAGTAGCGATTACTTTAAAAGACGTGGAAAATAAAGCTGGGCTTTGAATATTACTATAATGGGAGATCAGCCAAAAATGAGCATTGAATTAGGTGGAGAGACGAGTGATGTCATTTGATCTTCTTTCATAGCTCTCCACAAGATCTGAGTTCATCTTCCTTGTAGAACAAGGTGTCAGTCAGTAGCGAGAGAGCTCACAGAGCACTCCCACTTCCCATGTCGCACGAGGTCGAGATTAAGTGGCAGTTGCTGATGCAATTTCTCAGTTTGACGAAACAACAAAGAAGAGAATCTGCAAAAAAAATGACAACATAAAATGAATAAGGAGCAGGAGCTTTCTTCAATGAGTCGGGTGATCTCACTGGTGAGTCATGCTTGGCGTAGAGCATTTGTCATTCGGTATCTTTTTTTGAGAGAACTGCAGTCGTAGATCTCTCTCAGAATTCTGCAGATTTTACTGTTTTAGGGTTTGCTTTTTTGGAAATGATTTTCTCATTCAAGGCATAATCAGGAAACAGACAGAATCCTCAGTCAACCCCTCGTTTTTTTTGACGTTCCATCACTCGTCACCTTTCAATCTCTTCTTGGATGAATTCATAATATTAGGGCAACGCTAATTCCAACGTTCATAAAAAATATCAACTCGTTTTTGCCTTCTGGCATAAGCTTTGTACCATTTCTTCCATTCTAAATAGACTTTGAACTAATAATGGCCAGAGTGCGTGAATCGTATTACCACACAGTTGAACCATTTCAAGGAGTTCTATACATACCATTTCATCATCTTCGTGGACACCATATTTACACCATGTTATCACAGGTGCAAATCCAGAGCCACCGTTTGGCTGGCCAGACTTTGTGCTGATGATGGCCACTGTCGGGTTCTCCATCAATTTCAATTAGTTGATTGGCATTGATATTCGATCTCTCAATCTCCTCAATCTCCCTTTGTCTCCTTGCATCACCCTATGCTCGATGATGCAGGTTGTCCCCGAGACCTCATAACCTTAGTCCTAGGTCAATCTGAGTACCTGAAACAGCCTCGATCCGAGTGATCACGGCCGCGTGTGCTTGGAGCTTGAAGGAGACAGGGGTGTGGTTGAGGGTAGTGGTGCACGTGAGCGACGGGGGAGAGAGAGAGAGAGAGAGATACAAACTAGATTTGAGGGCGAAGATGTGAGCTGGCACGGAGGCAAGTGACAAGTGACATATAACGGTGATAGCGTGCGAAGCTCACCAATGGCGGCTTCATGTGGTCAAGCGAGTTTGACAAGGCAGAAACGGGTGCATGACTCATAAGGGTACTTTTATCATCTAATTTTTTAGGGTATGTATGGAGCTAGTTTTTGGGTGGAATTAGCGTGACCCTTAGTTTAAGGGCAGGGGCATGGCGGTGGAGACTTGGTTATATGAAGGTCATGGAATACCCTGCAAATCTCATGAACCGATTAAATCCAAATAGTTTCACACAATTAGCAGAATTTGAGCGGGTGGCCAACCAACCGTGCCAACCCTGTGGATTAATTTTTTTTTTTACTTTGTATATATGAATATTTAAAAATATATTTTCAATATTCAATTTGGACGTTATATCTATTGGATTTAAAATAATGAAAGAATATACATGAATATGTTCCCCCAAAGGCGCAGATTAATGGTCTTCTTGTAAAACAGTCCTTATATAACTTACTTGATTGAGCACTCATTATTCTTGTAAAACACCCTATGGTTTTGGTATGTCAGTGTGACGAAATAATCTTCATTTATAGAATAAACAAACGCTAGAAAATAAAAAAACTCGGTTACGACGTGTGGCGTAATTGTGACGTGTTCGTCTTATGGACTTGGAAATTTGCTCCTCTCCTTGTGGTTTTCGAGTCTTATTGGGAATACTTTGGTGGTGGAATCCAGAATACAGCATGCCGATATGAAAGAGTGTGCTCTTAAGATTGCCAGAGAAGGTAGAATAGTTGAGGTGCACGAAATCTGATCTCAGAGAGAGAGAGAGAGAGAGAGAGAGAGAGAGCGTTCACGCACTTAATAAGTAAGAACTTGATGGGCGTGGTGCGCCGGAGCTCAATGGGCCTGACGGACTGGGCTGCAGCGAGGTGGTCGGACCGGGCTGGAGAGTGAAGAGGCCGAACTTATTGGATGGGCTGGAGATTTGTTGTTGTTGTTGTTATTATTGTTATTTATTTGTTTATATATTTTTTAATCATTATATATATTTTTGCAAAAATGCATGTTTGACTTGCCGGCAAAATTTCAGGCCTCAATTGGAGAAAATTCTAACGTAGATCCAAATATCTCAGAAGATTATGAATTCGAAAAAGCTAAAAAAAATTTATATTTTTTCCATTTAAATTCACATAACACTCCGTGCAAAAGTTGACGCGCAGCTTAAAAATACTCAACTGAGTGCGGAAGCTTAAATGGAAAATACAACTTTAGCAGAAGTTTTCAATTAATCGCAACTTTTTCCATCTACTAAAAAAGCGAAATTAAGGTTGTTAAATTTTTGAATTTATAACTGCCAAAATTGTTCTTATGAATCTCGAGTGATTTATCCTCCACATCCGGTAATTTTGTTCGCGAAATACTTAATTAATTGTTAAAGTAACCGAAAGATAAAAAAGAATCGTTGGTTAAGTTCGAACTCAAAACAGTTGATCTCTAGTTGTTGAACGGATACTCCCCTTTAGCTATATCGATGTCTCCAATGATGAAAATATTTCTTGTTGGCTCAAAATTATCCACAGCAGTTCTGGACGGATAGATACGTATCTGATCAGAACAGGATTGAACTTTCGACATCAACCCTATCAATCAATAGGATAATGGAAAAGCAAACCTTGATCGTAGCTCTCGCTGTTAGCCACACGGAAGATGCCAATGCGCGTCGCGTGATCCGGTTCTTATCATAGCATGGTCCAACCACGACAGCTATGTTTCACTGCATGTCATATGTTTCAGAGAGAGAGAGAGAGAGAGAGAGATAGGTGTGCCAAGCTACGTGTATAGACATCAGTTTAACGCAGAAACCAAACATAATTAGCTTCACATTGATATATCAAGAACCCTAATCTGTTTCAATGCATCAACCAGTAGGCGCTTCTGAGTTCTGACCATGGATCAAAGTATATAACCCAGGTCAAAAGGATTGATGAGCATACAGTTCAGTACATCTTTACTGTAGCTAAGAGCAGGGGGTGGCAGATGAGACGGATGGCATTCGTCTGGCCTAACTTCATCAAATTGCAAATTCAGGAAGTTCAGGGGAGGACAACCCGTAGCCAAGAAGACTGATTCAGCAACATGCTCTCGGTGTGACCACACAAAATTAAATTATGAAGTGGATCAGAACAATGACGCATTGCTGCACAACATATAATATGCTTTTGGTGCTACACAAACGAGTTCAGATAATTCACTAAACTGTATGTAATTACTTGTGGCGAATGACGTGCACAGCACTCACCAAGTACTTGCTCCATGAATCCATGCATAAAGAACTTTTGAAGAATATTTAGTTACATTAGAGGATGTCAATAGTAGTTCAGTAAGTATTATACCCGAGACGTAGTTTCCAAAAAAAGGCCTGCTTACACCCAAAAGCAGATTGTTGCAAGCAGATTGTTGTATTGATCAACAATTCAACATCAAAATATGGCATTGTTGATACTAGAAGGAGCAGTGAACTGTACAAGTCCCAAAAACAGTTTGCAAATCGATCCTACCCTATGTAGAAGTGCACGCTCATAGCAAAAAGACCCAGAAGCTGCACTAACTGAAGTTAGTTAACTACCAACACTTTCAGGAGAACTAGTTTTTCATCGTTTCAAAGTCAAAAGCCATCGTTCATCTTGCTCATTCTGCCGTATGCCATCCTCCGACTTTCTTTGATTCCACGGACCTTTTCTCTCTCAACTTGTCCATGGCAACCTGCTTCTCACGGCAGTCAATCGTACAAAATGCCCTCAAGTGGCTGCAACATATTGCAAACATTTCTTGTCATTACTTCGACTTACAATTTTGAAGTTCAAATCATGCTCCAAAATGTCAAATTTCATCTCGGACAGGTCAAACAAGTTCACTGACACAACCAGAGTGAAAACAAAGTAATCTAAACGATGAAGGCATCACGGCATCGAAACCTAGGCGAAAAAAAATGGGCGATTCAGGGACTAGGTAGGCAACCTGAATTGCCTCGTGGCAAAGGTTATACCAACCCTGCGATTGGCAGTCTAACAAAGTCCAACAAAATCAGTATTTCTGCAGCTAGTATTGGCGCACCACCCGCCCCCAAGGAACCGCAATTCTCCTGAGATGAACGTGGGAAACAGCTAATACATCTCTATGGAACAGCCAATCGAACGAGAGATGCAGGTCCTGCACTTATTAAGTATCTGTTTATCTGCATCCGCTAATGTCACGTCCTACCGTCTGTTCACCACAACCATAAAGCAAAAACCTCGCAACTGGAGTGCATAATATGCATCCAAGAAGTATGACGGGATGCAAATATGCGGCGTCAAGTCATACGCAAGCTAAAAAGGTGATATAAACCATGGCAATTAGGGAAAAAAATGACGATGATCAGAGAAAATCGCCTGTAGACAACAATGTTACTAATTTCTCGGGATCTACCGTTCCGATTCCGTAAACTAAGATAGACCAGCAGAAACGCGGGCATCCTGCGGTCGAGGACACGAGCGACGTACCCGTACATGAAGACCTCGTCGCTCTCCCCGATCCTCTTCTCGCAGTAGGAGCACATCTCGAGGAAGTTCCCGATCCGCTCCTGGCTCCAGTCCTCCGCCGCCGCGGGGGACGACAGCGTGAGGATCCCCGGCCGCGGAGCGGCGCGGCGGCGCTGGTCGTCGGGGTCGGCGTCGGCGTCTGCGGGGGCGGGGGGCGGGGCGGCCGGGGAGGAGAGCTGGCCGACGCCGGCGGCGACGGAGCCGGTGTCGCCGGAGCTGGAGGAGCGGGCGGTGCGGGAGCGCTTCACGGACATGGCCGATCGCTCGACGGAGACGCTGAGGCCGAGGCTAGGGTTTGAGAGCGAGAGCGAGAGCTAGAGAGAGAGAGAGAGAGAGAGATTGTGAGTGGCGGAGGGTTTAGGTGGGATAGGGGGAGTGAGTGTTGGGTGGGGGTTTCTGATTTGAAATGAAGGCGTTTTGAAAGCCGTACGGCAGAAGAACAGAGAGATAGGGAGACGGGGGAGCGAGGGTATATATAGGCTACGGTGGTCCCCACGGAAGCTTCCTCTGGTTCTGGGCTGAAAGGTTTTGTTTTTTGGCCATTTGGCAGGATCGAATCGAACGCCTCACCTTTTTTGGGGACCAACCCATCGTTGCTTCGTCGAAAAAACGGTTGAAAAACGGAATAAAACAAAAAAAGTGACGATTCCCAGACATTCTTTGACCTCTCTGCTCCTCGTCATTCCAGGAAACACACAGGTGGCGGTGCCTGAGAAGAACGATGACCAAGATTGGAGGCTTCGTAGGAAGAAGAAGAAGAAGAAGTTGATCACGCCTCTTGATTGATGAACAGAGAGCAGAGAGAGAGAGAGAGAGGGGGAGAGGGGGTCCGTTCGTGCACGAATTCGACGGTTCCGGGAGGCCATCTCCGGGATCGATCGAGGGGCTTTCGTTACACCGCGCCATGGAATAACCTGCAAAAGTTTCGTCATCTGAATTGGTCCGTGCCTCGAGAATTTCGCTGTTGAAGTTTCTTTTCGCTGAGGTTAAAAGAGAACCGCGATGTTGGGATGTGCAATTTGCCCCCTGTTCTTCGCAACCGCGAGAAATTTTTATGTAGCGATCCCAATTCCCTGTTCTTCGCCCGAGGCTCGTGGAGGGGAAAATAAAAGAGGAAAAAAGGAAAAAGAAAAAAAAGTGAAAAGTAAAAAAAGAAAAACACACGGAAGAAAAAAGAGTAGAACAAAAAAATTAATAAAAAATTATTAAAAATCGTTCGTGTCAACATCAGCGTCACGTCACTGATTTCTCATTTGACACAATAAAATGTTTAAGATTGAATCGATAAAAGTACTTAAAATTTTTTGGACAATTCTTTCCATCCAAGATGCAAATCATCCTAGTACTTCCTTTTTTTCTTTAAACTGTGAGAATCAGATAAAATATTAGACCGAAGGAAAAGCCTCCGCAAATATCAACTCAAGTTTTAAATGCAAGAAATTATTCAAAAGACAAACCGATTCTTCTCATATTGCTCTTCACATAGATTTGCCTTGGTTTTCCCTCAAGACGTAACTACGCATAATCTAATTTTCTATAGGACTGTCCATATTTCTTTTCAACAAAATTAAATTTTTTATTTCCAAAATATAAAACAGATACCAAATTCATTAACTGAAAAAGTCTCGTTGAATTTAGTTTTACAAAACTTCACATAAAACACATGCTAATTTATTCTAGTGGAGTTAAATGGTTTATTGGAAGGATATGAGTCTTGATGAATCTGGTTGTATATAATATAAATGGATTAAAACATATCGCTCCATTTTTGTCTCGACCCACCTGTTTGGCACCTGTAGTTTCCAAGATCGAAAAAAAGGAGGAGATGGGGTTCATGGCGACCTTACAAATTAAACTTCTGAAGGCAATTGCAAGACTAAATTTTGCACTGTTCTAATTCGATTCGTCGAACTGCCATTAGCCGTGCTAAATGGACTTATGTCCACCGCTATGAAGAAGAAGTGCCGTGCTACTTTAGTTATATTATCACCAACTTAAGTGTTTAAAGATCCACTGTGATCCAGCTGCAATAGTGGCCGAAGGAGAAATGTCATTTCTGGTCAGAAGAAAAAGAAAAGATAAGACTTACAAGGAGTCAGAGGTAAACAGGATTGGATGGTAAGAATGAACACAACGAGAAATGAAACCATGATTAATAAAGACAAGATAAATCTAACATTCCCCAATATTTCATCCTCCAACCGTGCTAAAGTAAAATGGAAATGTTGTCACATTCTTGACAGTTGGCCCAAGCTGATGAAACAGTATCAACTGTCAAATATATGAAATGGATGAACAGAGAGACATAGACTTCATCTGGAAATATTGCTGAAAGCCATGGCTAGGCATAACAAGAACCTTGGCATGCTATTTACCCGTACATTTGATTGCCTGATCTACTCAGGGTGGGTAACATGGTAACGGAAATTTCAGATGAATGAACAAATGAATTACTACAGAATGAAGCTGTAGGTCAGGAATAAAAGGCACATTTGGATCAGCCTATTAGGAAGAATACTGAATTAAGTATGAAACAAATGGTGCTGTTACAAGAGCACTGACATTAAGGTGCAAAGAATCTGTCTGGCCAATACATTTTATTGCATCTAAAGCCAACACCATGTAAAAGAGAAGAGTTCTAGCTTCTACCCTGCAATCTTGGCACGGACGTGGCTATGAAGATGTGCCACAATCCCTCCAAACACATCTCAGTCCATTGCCAACCATAGATCTGAACAAGAAATCGTCATCTTAAAGCTCTGGCATCCCCTTTCCTGTTTTGGCATCGTAAGTCCTCTCCAACACATGTTCCATCGGAGTATCTTTTGGCCCAGCTGAAAAAAAAGAGCATATATTACTGATATGGCTGAGGAAGAAGCATCAAGAACAAGTTCGATGGCAAGTCATTGACGAAATAAAAGATCCTATGACAATTGAATTTTTACTAGATTATTGACTTCATATCCAAGTCTCTCACTGACGCATGTGGTCCAGGATCACTCACACACTTCCATGCACAAGATCAGACAAATATACGTGTATAGTACATGCATTCCAAAAAAATAGACATTAATAATAATAGTATCTTAGTTAGCTCTAGGTAGCTACCAACGGTAGGTCTTGGTGTAGTCCGTATCTTCAAAATTTCTGGACGAGGAATAATGTTACCAGATGCACCTTGAGCTCTCGACACTCTCACTTTTGTGCCATCTTCTAGATATTTAATTCCAACCTTACATGGACTCCTGTAAAAGTAAACAGCAATAAAGAGTATATTCAATAGGTAAAGACAAAATACTAGACAACAGTGCTGACCCACCCAAAAAACCCAGAAAGTACATATACCCTGTGACTGGGTCAACAACTTGAACATTTGAGACATGAAGAGGGGCTTCCACGGTGAATATCCCACCTTCATGACCTTGGCCTTGCTTAATATGTTTTTTGACCTGCTCAGGATTTGGTAAATTTGGTCAAATAAAGATATGGATATAATAGTGCAGCTATTGATACGAGGATTGGCTTTACAAGATAAACACTACATGTTGTGTGGACCTGCACGACTCATAGCACCAGTACGTGTTATGCACCCAGTGACGTTAACATATATGATGATGGTAAAGCCATACGGACTATCATGCTGAACCATAGTGACATTCCATATCACAGACTTTGCTTCCAATGCCTTTCACGTTTTCTACAAATCACAACCATAAAGCATCTGTAGGTATTCCTATTCCTATTATATATAAGAAGATAACTTGGATAAGCATGGGAAGAGGATATATCCACAAAGACCCATGTAGGAACCACACTTCTATTAGACCTGTAGCTTTTGCAGTCAGTAACATTTTCTTACTAAATGCCAGGAGACACTGAACAAAGGTAACAACATAGTGCCTAATTGTGGCTCACCACAATAGAAGTTAAATTTATCCCATATCCACTGTCCACATATAAGTTCAAAACATAAGAGTTGGGGAGAAGATGGCACATATGAAAAGGCAGAACAAGGTCCAGTAGCTCTCACCAAGTTCTTTCCCTCGACAATCACACGATTTTGAGAGCGGATGACACGCTTAATGACACCCTTCTCACCCTTATCCTTCCCCCTAATAATCATTACCTGCAAACAATCAAAAGAATGGAAAAATGAGTAATTCCCACACGAAAATTTTGAAGGGGGAGTCAAACTTTAACTCTTTAATCAAACACACATTATCTCCTCTGAGGATCTTCCAGTTGTGGATGAGCTTCTGAGCTGATTTCCAAACCATTAAGGACAAAAGGAAGTTCACGAGGCAGTCAAATTGCCAACAAGCAAGTATCCCTGCCAACCATCATCGAGTCAAGTCATGGCGAGAAATAATAGGTGACACTGCAATTCCAACAAGGATCCACTCAAAGAAATTGATTGTGTACTTCATAAGAATGTTGCAAAAGACTTGAAGATCGAGGAGACTCGGGTCTACTATATCTTGCACTCACTGCTCTCTCATTTGACTTAAGCTCCTAGCAGGTCAAGCACTGCATTTTCTCAATAGGCATTAAATCATTAGCACCAATCGAAAAGGGTACAATGAAAAATGTTCAGATGTTGTCCTCTTTTATGCACTCTCCTCACATCAAAGCCCAAATTAGCATCATATCGTAAATATCTTCCCACGATGTGCAAAAACAATGAGGCATTTCTTTACCAGCACCAACAAACAGAGAAACGGTGAGGAATTTAAATCTAAATCAGACAACTTACCAAGTAAAAGAAAAAGAGTCCCACTCAGCAGGCAAAATACAGCCCTCGATACAGATACCGAATCAACCGGTCATCATAAGTACCTTAGTTCACTAAGGAATGAAGTTATCGGACAGGACAATGTAACGCGGGACATATTCCTTAAAGATTTAATGGTTAGGTTCCACAATCTATAAAATAATTTTACAAGCCCGATAATAGTTGGTAAAATAATTTTACATCTCTCTTATCTTCACCTTCTTCACAGTACCACACACAGACCCCATCACGAGCTATCTCTCACACACAACTCACAATCTCAACAAATCCCACGCAAGAAAAACACACTTTACTTCTATCAAACATAAAAACAAACACTTAGCGTGCAAACTTAGAATGCCAATGTATGCTCAAGAAGAACATGAAATAGCCCTTGCACATCATCGTCACAAACAACGAATCCCGGTTACCCGATGCAAGGAGAACACGCGACTAAAAAGCTAACATCGAAACCACCGATCGACGAAAACAACAGAGCAATTCAAATGAGAGTACACTAGTAATTCCATTGGGGTTTCCACGGGTGGAAGAAACACTGTCAAACACACACGCGCACGGCGTACAGTCCTCCATAACGGGGCCGACGACCCTTTGAATTCGACACCGTCTCTCCTACATCAGTTGCCCGCTGATTGACCTCCTCTTTTGCTGGAATTTGACAACGTCATGCTTTTTCAGTCCTCCAATCACTGGGAGCTTGGGGGGAAGAAATGGGGAAGAAAATTTCACGAACAATCTAGCGTTACCCAAATGAAACTAGACCCATCATCCACGCTTTTTCGGTATTCCCAGACGTACCCTGTATCGGGTCGCTACCAATTTCGAAAATAGAATCTACCCAACATCTTCGGTGCAAATGCACAAAAGGTTTTACCGCAAGTTTATAGCATGAATGAAAAGCCAGGAGAAACATGAAGGAGCAGGGGATGTGGCGGGATTGGCGTCGAGTGTTGGAGGGTGAGATGAGAGGAGGCCTTGGCTTACCAGTTCAATCACGCCCCACCTCTCCCGTTGAACCGCGTCACTCCCCTCTTCTTCTTCTTCTTCTTCTACTACTGCTTCTCGACTGTGTACATACACACAAATCCTCCGCGAAATCGGATCAAACCCTCCGACTCCTTCTCCACTTGAGGTCTTCCCTCTGTAGGAGTCGCCGCCGATCCGCGAAACCAGGCGCGCCTTGGCTCCGGTGCGGCGTATGTGGGCACGACGGTGGAAAGGGTGGCGGCGTTAGGGTTTTGCGGCGGCTCACGACCCACCCCATCTTGCCGGCTCTAAATGTACGTGCAAAATCGGGTCGGGTTCGGATTCGATTTCGGATTACCCAGTTTGCAAGTTTTTTTTTTTTTTAACCCGAAAAGCGAGGATAAATTATTTCCCTTTTTCTCAATTTGTCATTCGTCTTTTTTAGGTTTCGCCACGAGGATGACACATTTGATTTTTTCTCCAATATTTTGTGAAGAAGAGAATAATGTGATGATCTTGTCCTTCAACGCAGATGAATCAAATAGAGTCTTCGATCGAAAGTTTCGTTCTACGTCCAACTTTCGACGTAACTGTCTAGAAGGAAAAATTACAGTTTTCAATTGCTAGTTTGATCTTCTGCCGAATTAAATTGTTTTAATAGTCTTTCGAGCTTTAAAAAAAAAAAGCAAAAGGACTATTCGAAAGATTTATTCCGTGATCATACAAAAACGGACCGATGTCAAAGGACCGACTTATATACACGGTTGGTTCCATGTCATTAATAAGATAACTAAGGGCCCATTTATTTGAAGGAAAACGGTTTTCAGGAAATTGGTTTCCTGCTTTTCGATATTTGGATGATGGAAAACTAATCAATTTATGAAAAATATTTTCCATGAGCCGAAAATAACAAGCGTAACTTCCTCTCGTGGCGTTAAGCTTAAATCACTTTCTCTAAATTACAAAACAAATCAAAACTGACCGTTTAGATTTTCGGAAAAAAACAAAAGAAATTTTGTTTCTTTCTTTCTGTTGTACCATCCTTGATTGCCACCATAAAAAAAGGGCCGAAAAAAATAACCATTTCCACCTCATGCGATTGGCCCACCATCAGAAGCTGGACAGAGATTAACGTTAACCACGAAACAAACCCCCAATTTTAGCACTCGAAAACCCCCTAAATTAAGCTCCCTAATCACGTATAAGAAGGCCCCTTTTCCGGTCTCCACCATCCCCAAGTCTTCCCGAGAAACACTTCGAAGAAGAAAAAGAGCAAGCTAGCGCCTTAATCAGATTCCCGGAAAAAAATGGCCAACAAGCTTGTCGCAGTGTTTCTCGTGTGCGTCGTCCTCGCCGGAGCGCTGCACGCCCGCGAGGCCGAGGCCACCGCCGACGGCGCGTTCAAGTCGTGCTTCACCGCCTGCCACGACGGCTGCAAGGCCGGCGGCCACGGCTTCACCTTCTGCGAGATGAAGTGCGACACCGAGTGCACCGAGAAGGAGCTCGCGGGTAAGAGCTTGACATAACAAAGAAGAAGAAAAATTATATATCGAGCAGCGGTGACGTCATTATTAGGAGATGCTGACGAGATTAATTTTAAAAAAAACCAGAAAAATCCGCGACTTTTTTTTTTATTGGTAGTGCTTCTCGCGTTTATTTTATGCCACTAATATTTACGTTGCGTTTTTTTTATTTTTATTTCCTTTGGTGCAGATAAACTAAATTTGCATTTATAAGAGGCCATGACTTGTGCAAGTCCTTCAAGGGGAAGAAGAACAAAGGGAGAGTAATGATGTAATATATCAGTGGATTTCAGTCTTCTGATTCCATCGCCATCATATTCTTGAAGAACTTCTAATAAAATCTTTTATACGGAGCTTAATTCCTTTTTCATTTCGTATATATATAGTTATCGATCTTGGCGATAACCGCATGAACTCGCCAATCCTGACGGGCATCATGGTCCGGCGTCGTGTCGTTAATATATGCACAAAGTCCCTAGAGATCGCTTAACTTTGATGTGCCGGTCAATTTGTCGCTTAACTTGCTTTATTTGTTTTTCTTATGTTAGTGCCGAGGGGTTCATCAAGTAAGGCGAAATTCAAAATAATTCACGAATTATTTAGGAGGAAAGTAGAGAATTTCCAACAGTGAATGGATTAGATGATTAACTTTTTCGTATATATTTCAAATTTGGAATGTTCATAAGCCAAACAGAAGGACAAGAAATTCCAAAACCATTGTCACCGGAGATTTTTATTTATGACACAATTTTTGTTGGTCACGGAATATATTTAAAGGGAAATTACATTAGTGGTCCTTAAATCTTGGCCGAATGTGCAAATCATCCTTAAAATTTTAATTCTTTCAATGTCATCTTAGAACTATTTCTAAATATTCAATGTAGTCATTTTGTTTGATCAAACTAAAAATCGGACGTTATTTGACGACATGAAATATTTAATGCGAAGTTAGACTTTTGCAATGTCGGGCCAATACAATATAAGAATATGTGGCCGTGAATTCCATTTTATTATCCATCTTCTTTTATACTCGTGGTTTTTTTTTTTTTTCGATTGCCCTCATGTTAAAACTTACCGGATCAAAGGGCATGTAAGCAAATTTTCTTGATTCGAACTTACAAAAGAACATCATTAAATTTTTTAATATAGTTTAAGGATTACATTGAACATTTAACGGTAGTTCAAGGTCCATATTGAATAAGTTAAAAATCCATAAATGACATTGCCCATCGAACCGAAATTTATGGCCCGTTAGTGTTATTTTCCTTAAATTTAGTATTGGTTAACAATAGTAACATATATTACACGTGTACTTACATCTCGTAATAGTCCACATAATTATGAGTGGAAAGTGCTTAATCATTTATGGAACTCATTTTGAGATTTTGTAAATCTCTATTAGCCGAGTAAGATAAGGGCCATTGACCTTAACTAAATGCATAGGATTCAAGAAGCGTCACTTGTCAGGTGGATTCGAATTGGTATTGGAGTTCAACAACTTTTAGCTAACTTCCTAAATTTGATTATTGAACACCAAATTAAGTGGCTAAAATAGTCGTACTAATTGGACTAACCCAAAGAAATTGAAAAATCTGACCTTGATATGTAATTTGAACTGTCTAGTTGCCTCATTAGTTATCCACCAAACAAACTGATTTTTTTTAAAAAAATTTTGGGGATATAATTGAACCTCTAATTGAGTTTGGCCACCCAATAGCACCAATTCAAATTTTGTCCCTTCTATCTGTGTTCACCTATAAATCGTGCCCAAATCCTATGTTCTTTGCACTCAGAGACATACATTCAAATCAGTCCTTGCAAAAACAGTCTTTTGAGTCGATCATCATCAGATTACAGATTGTAATCCAAAAACACTAGGGACATGGCATCAGGAGGGATCATGATCGGCCTTGTCCTCGTGCTCGCCGCCACGCTGTGGCCTAGGTCCGCGGCCCAGTCCGGGTGCACCTCCGCCCTCGTGAGCCTCACGCCGTGCCTCGGCTTCATCACCGGGAATTCGTCCACCCCGTCGTCCTCATGCTGCTCCCAGCTCGCCAGCGTCGTCCAGGCGTCCCCCCGGTGCCTCTGCTCGGTCATGAATGGCACCGGCCTGACGTTCGGCATCCCCATCAACCAGACCCTCGCCCTGGCGCTCCCCAACGCTTGCAATGTGCAGACCCCACCAATCAGCCAGTGCAATGGTAAGTCTCTTCCTCTAGGCCTAAGCTAATAGCTATGTCCCCTCGTGCATGTTGCTTATTTTCTCACATTTTCTGTTCATTCGGAAGCGGTCGCTAATGCACCGACAGCGCCCAGCGTGGGTGCACCGACGGCGCCCAGTGTGGGTGCACCGGAGGTGCCTCCGGTGGCTTCACCGCCGGATTCTCCAGCAGAATCTTCCCACGAGACTCCAAATGCTGCAGCACCAGCTGCCTCAACTACTCCTTCAGGTATATACAGAGGACATCATAACTAGAATCATTCACGAATCCAAATATTTTCTAAAGGTGCCTCAAAATAAGGAGTATATAAGATGATCAATTTGGGCAAATTTTTTCTTTTGTTGGTGCAGGGACTACAGGACCAGGAGGGTCTAAAGCTGTGCCGTCAACAGAGGGGAACACATCTGATGGAAGCATTGTGAAAGCTCAACTTCATCTTGCCGCGTTGGTCGTCCTCGTGGCTTCGATCTTCAAGAGATTCTGAATCATACAGTCGAAGCTTTGGATCGTGCCGCGTTCATTTGTTTGATTATTCTTTTACAGCGTCGCTCGCCTTGTGTGCGTATTGAGAATTATTCTGGTTGCCTCCATTTATGGCGGTGCAATGTACTGTACTCTGTGCCAGAGGCAGTTCTGGGTGGTGTATACCGTGTATTTGATTGTGTTGTTTGTCGTAGTGAATTCTTTTCCGCTAGTTCGATCAATGGAAGTCTTGGTGATTTCAATTTGTTGCAATCCATTCACTCATGCATGAAGAACTCGAAATGGACCCTCCAAACCGTGCGATCGGGCGAAAGTGCATTGAGAGACTAGCCGATGACCAAACGCAACGATGAAAAATTTCAAAGTCATCTAGATTTATGGAGCCGACGCGAATCAAACATTCTTGGGTTGAATGAAAATTACCGGATGAAGTGCAATGAAAACGATTACATGGAAAACTCTCTCCATAGTTGGATATAGAGTGCATTCTTCTTCTTGGGTAATCTCCGTCGATTGCATGTCCGTGGCGCCTGAAAATCATCATGTCTCTCCCCCTCTTTCGCGGCCATCTTCAAGGTCTCGCGACCTCGAATCTGAGGTCGGACTCCCCTTTCAATGTCGTGTGACCTCGTATCTATCTGAGCTCCAACATCAGACCAGAGAGAGAGAGAGGGACAGAGCATTGATGTGCGGTGATGGAGTTAGTGGTGGCGGTGGCGTGTGGTGGGGTGGTTTCCATCTCTGCTGACTCCCCGGGGCGGGGTGGGGTTGGTGTTGGAGAAGGGGTGTGGTCACGTCCCTACGAGCTCGTGGTGGTGGTGGGGCTGGAGTGCAGGGACGACGATGGCAACCAAGTCTGTCGTGGCAGGGTGCCCTGGTGGGGGTAGTCACGGCCCTATTGATCTGTGCGCCGGTGTCCCTGTTAGTCCGTTGCGGTGGCGTCAGGGTGGTGTCGGAGTGTAGAGATGGTGGCGGCGATGAAGCCAACTGGGGGTGGTGGTGGTGGAGGATGGTTGTTGGTGGCGGTCGTGGCTGGAAACTCATTAGAGAGAGAGTGCATCTCAACTGTTAGATCATGTGGGTCTCATAAAAATCAAATATTTAAATCAATTAGATTCATATGCGCTCGAAAGACCTAAGAAATTTTTAAGAGAGGATGCGAATTGTTTAAAGAGAGACAAAGTGTGACGTGTATGACACATGGCGACATGCGAATGTTATAGAGTGCGATATCGACCATAACTTAATGACTTAATCATACACACATCAGCTAACACGGTTATATTTTTCAAAGGACCCACCCAATTGTGCTATATATAGGCATGACCGACTTTGCGACGATTTCAAGTGGATGGCGACGAATTTCGAAAGAAGAAGTTTACGGCCTTATCCGGGATCACTCCCGTTTTCTTTCCCTTTGCGCTGTACAAGCACCCAAAAAATTGAAGGTAGAGCAAGTTTGCTTTGAAATCGACCTCCGTTGCGGTAGCAGCGCGTGTGCTTAGCCGTGTTCTCGTTCCCTCGTACTTAGGTGAGATTTGGTATTATGCGTTCAATCAAAGCTGGGAAATCAAAAAATAGCAGGTGGACACTAGTGGACTTTTCGACACGATAACAAATCATGCCTCTGTTTTAGGAAAAGTTGGCTAACCAAAGCGTCCATTTGTACGGTTCCTGGAAAGCAATGTATCTAGCGTCAGGTCTCCATCTCTTTTCCCTTCCAATTCAAATGGCACCCAACCATAACCCCAGCAACCATCTTTATAATATCAAATTCGTTGTGAAGGAAAGTCATCTGACGTCACAAATCATCTACTTATTCATAGTTTGTCATGAAATGATTGGTACCTTTCATAATCTATGAAGAGCTGCTGATTATAAAACTCGTAGGATTTCCTGTCTTGGTTAATTTGGCCAACCAGAAGCACCTGTTCCCTCCGTCCTTTACTAGTCTAGCTCCTCCTATAAATCCCCCAATCACACATTGCCCAACACCATCAACTCAAACCCAAATCCTAGTCTCTAGCAGAAACCCTGCAATATCGTTGAGATCATATGGCACTGAAGAACATGAAGATCATGGGCCTAGCGCTCCTCGCCGTCCTTGCGGCGTCGCTCGCCCCGTCGGGCTCGGCGCAGTCGACATCGGGCTGCACGACGGTGCTCATGACACTGACCCCGTGCCTGAACTACGTCACCGGGAACTCCTCCGCCCCCTCCTCCACCTGCTGCTCGACGCTCGGCTCCATCGTCCAGTCGCAGCCGCAGTGCCTCTGCCAGCTCCTGAACGGCAGCGCGGCGTTTCTCGGCTACAACATCAACCAGACGCTCGCCCTCGCGCTCCCTGGCGCGTGCAACGTGAAGACCCCATCGGCGAGCCTGTGCAACGGTAATATAGCCTGACTAACAAAAACTATTCATCTTCTTTGTCTTTAGGACTTGATTTTAGGGTGCTGTCCTAACTTATAATGCTGATTGAACCTATGAATTCAGCACTGTCTCCATCGAGTGCTCCAACAACAAGTCCTACTGCAGACGACAACACACCTTCTACCCCAACATCATCATCAACCCCAGCTGTTCCTTCTGGTAATAACTTCACTAGTTGGACACTTTCAGTGCAGCAAAAATCTTGCATCAATCTAAATTTGAGTGAAAAATGTTGGGTTTTTCTCCCCTACAATCAATTGTGACTGATGAATGTTACTTTTTCCTGTTTAATCAAATGAAAAATCAGGGTCAAAGACAACACCTACCACAAGTGGAAGCAGTGGCATTGGAGTGTCCCTTGGCTCTCTGCTCTTTGCCCTCATCTTGGCTTCATTTGGATAAAATCTCTTCAAATTCTAGGATTAGAAATCTTATTTAACACGAGCGTTCGGTTTGCATTTGTCATTTTCACCCTATGGAATGAGAGTTTTGGGTTCCATATGTATTATGAATTTGGTGCCGCGGACCAAGAATAAATTAGATTCTGGCGTGTAATTTGTTCCTATGACGAATCATGTTAGTTTTCTGCGGCGAATATGCGAAGGAAATGGACAGAATTTGCTCTATGAAAATCGGTAAGATGTGACGAGATAGACGGAGGTATATTCAAAGTCTAGTACTGCATTTGCTCTGCTACTCTGCCTTGGCTATAGGCAAGGACTGATATGGAGGATTAACAGGAAATAAATATTGAATACGAAGCGATCTCTTACGATTTGTTAATCCTTCATTTACACAACGAAGATAATAATCTGCATGATGGAGCGATAGTCGAAGGCTAATGCCGGGTTGTCGTCGTCCAAACATAATATTATGTTACAAAAGCAGGCGCAAATGCCATGTTTTGTACAGAGTACAATATAACCAATGATTTGGCGACTATCAACATAACTTTCCAATGAACGATGCGTCAATGAAGCATATAGATGCTAAAAAGTAGATGCTCGCCGTTAAAATTAAAACAATGTCGAGAAGAAAGTAAACATCATCGGTAAACATCACTGCAGCTAAGAATATAAGCAATTATTCACCTGCACCCTTGTCCTCTCTCATCTTCACTTTAGTTATATGCACACGTGAGATGTTTTTGAAAAGCCTTCGTCCGAAAATTGGTGTGGCGTGGACCAGTCAATAATCCTAATTTATCCATAACTAAAAGTAAGAATAAGTTTGATTGCCGTTGCCAGCTCATAACGTTCACCTGGAGCTAACTAATGAACCTTGCTCGCAATTGACCATAATGTCTTTGCAAGCTCGCCTAGCACTTCCTCTACTTAACCAATCTTCCCTTTCCCAAATTTTCACTTGATGATTTTGCCAAATCCCAATCTATTCGCTATTTGCCCTTATGCCCTTTCAACCACATTGACCTACTCATGTTACATAAGTTGCTCTCCTTCTATTTGGTCCGTCCAAGCACCTTGAAGATCCTCCTTCCCTTGCACGTTCACCTAAATCTAAAGGTCCTTTAACCTCCAACACTCGAGCAGTACTAGACCAGATAAAACAAGATTGTCTAGTAATTAATTCGGCATTTAGAGTGCACCATAGTTCACTATACAATTAATATATTTCCCTTCCTAATATTGGGTTAAAGTGCAGGAACACTCCTTTGGTTTGAAAAACCTTGTTGAGGCTTTGGCAGAACTTATTAACCATATGTAAATTATTAACTTACATCTCAGTTAATTATGAAATTCATCTCTAGGGCAGAACTAAGGCAAGCTTTTAGCAGATTGTACACTCCTTTCAAAAGACAAATAAATTCCAAGGTCCTTGGTGTTTATATGTAAAATGCATTGAAGACAGCTTGTGTGGATCTAATTTTATGCGGCCTATGTAGAAATAAAAAATTCATAACGTTTGTGCTGAAGATTCAGAGGTCTTAGATCATATTCGCCTGACAACAGTTGGCCACCCAAAGTACCAGAACTAGTATTTATGACATTTTGATACCTAAATCTCTCTGCATTAATCTATCCTGTTTCTTTTTCTTTCATATTTGACTCCATATCATCCAAATCCACCAACAAAACCAACAACAGTAATACCCATCTTGGCATAAGCCTTGTTTAAGGAAATTTGGCCAACCAAAGGCACCGGTTATTACCAGTCTGTACTGATACCTTTCCCGTATAAATCCCTGCGCATGTCATGTTCTTCCCAAAGCAATCAAGATCAAGTCCAATAGAAACAGAAAAAAAGAGAAAAAGATCACTCAGAAACATTTTGTGGGCCATGTTCTATTGACTTTTGCTGAATCAAATTACTTCATAGTCGATAAGGCTTTGAAGAGAATGCAGATGGGTCTCATGGTGGCCGTTCTTGTGGCATTGCTTGCTCATCATAGCACAGCACAGTCCACATCTGGTTGCACCACAGCGCTGATGACATTGACCCCGTGCTTGAACTACGTCTCAGGGAATTCCTCTGCCCCGGTCTTCCACTCGTTGTTCGACCCTCACCTCGGTCGTCCAGTCGCAGCCACAGTGCCTCTGCCTGCTGCTCAACGGCGGGGTGTCGTCACTCGGGTACAACATCAATCAGACCCTCGCTATGGCTCTCCCCGGCGCTTGCAGCGCGAAGACGCCACCAGTTAGCCTCTGCAAGGGTACGGTCTAAATCAATCATCGTGCATGTGAATAGTGATTAGTTATTATAGTTCTAAAATATGTGACATTCATGTTAGAATTAACCAATTGAAGGTTTGTTCGCTAAAAATGACCTTAAAAATTTTCAGCGCTCTCTCCATCAAATCCTCCTACAACAAGTCCTCCTGCAGATTCTTCAGACAACACACCATTGACTCCAGCAGCATCCTCAACAGCAACCATTCCCTCAGGCATGAGAATAACTGTCCTCTTAACGAAATTGCTTCGCTTTGCAATCTCTTTCACTGCTTCTTCTTCTCCTTTCCATTTTTCAAAGAGATTGCAGTAACTTACTGGTGGCGTTTGATGCTATAGCAGGATCGAAGGCAATGCCTGCTGCGACCGGCGTGAGCGGGAGCATCAAAGCCTCCTTCGGATCTCTTGCGCTGGCGCTCTTGCTGGCTTCATTTGGATCAAGTCTTCTCAAGTCTTGAGGGGGAGAGAGAGATTTCATATGTGCTCACTCTCTGTCATTTGCGCTCGTGTACTCTGTGTGGAGTGATATCCATTCGTTGTTTGTTATGTTGGATTTTGTGCTACGTATTGGTTTTATTTGAAATACTTCGAATAACGTCGGAAGATTTAGTAGATCTTTGTGCTTCCTCTGGAATGCCTAAAAACTCTGCAGACTTGGCGAAATCAACAGAAGATCTAATCCCTGATGAAATTAGGAACCTTTGCAATGAATCGTTATATAACTAACCCTATATCGAAGGCAAGACACAGATTTTCAGTGAAAGTGCTCCATATAAGAAGGCGATATGAAAATGGATCAGGAACACAAAAAAAAAAAGGGTAAGGATGACGACCATGTGTCCTAAGAAAGAGGGATGAAAAACAAGTATCACTGAGCCATTTTTTTTTGTCAAAATCACGAAGCCATTTGGATGGTATAAATCTTCGCTATTTCTCTCGACAAATGTGTCGAAATCTTAGAATGTCGGAAATCTGGACACTGACCAAATAAGGAAAAATTGTCTAAAAAAATCTTAAATCTATTGCACTTTTGCTAATTCAATACAAAAACTTTTCACTTTTTGCTAATTGAGTTAATCCGGCCAATTTAACCTTTCAATTTGTGGACATTAGCGTCCATCCGGTCACATTTGACGTGACAATTTTTTAATAATATTTTGATGTTTTTTTGAATTTTGAATTATTTTTCTTTCTTTTCTTTTCTTCTTCCAAGTCCCGGCCATTGCCCAAATGCCAACGAGCAACGGTCGGCCGGGCCTCCCCTATGACCGGCGAGGGTCAGTTGGCAACTCTCACCAGACTTGGAAGAAGAAAAAGAAAAAGAAAGAAAAAAATATTAATAATTTAATATTTTTTTTGAATTTTTTGAATTATTTTTTTTTCTTTTTCTTCTTCCAAGTTGCGGCCCTCGCTAGGTTTGGGTGAGGGCCGCAACCCTCGCCCGCAACCGGCGAGGGCCGCGAGGCAATTGGCAAAATTATAAAATTTAGAACCAATTGATAAAAGTACAATAAATTAAAAGTTTTTGGACAATTTTTCCAACTAATTAATTGGTCGCAGAGCAAAACAGCCTAAAGTGCATTCTCGCCATACTTGGAAGAAGAAAAAAAAAAAGAAAGTAAAGAAAAGAAAAGAAAAGAAAAGAAAAGAAAAAGAATAAAAATTTCGAAAAAATATTAAAATATTATTAAAAATTATCACAAGTAGCAGGTGGGTTAGTAGGCTGTTCCACATGAAGACAAATCATACTTTGTTTAGAAAAAATTGGCTAACCGGCTCCATTTATTTTGCGAAAATTACTTTTCAAGAAAGCACATTAAATATTTTAAGGTTTGGATCCCTAGAAAATTAACAAAATGTTTTATGTACACTGGTTAATTCAGGCAAATTATTTTCTCTTTAAAAAAAATCATTTGGCAAATATCTAAACGGCACTTTGAGAAACTCGAACTTGACAAAAATCCTAATGCAATTCTGATTCATGATTTTTTGGACAATTTTTCCAACCAATTAATTGGTCGCAAAGCAGAACAGCCTAAAGTGCATTCTTTGTTGGATGGAGAGACTTGGAGAAATGATGCGGATAAGGAAGTAAACCGAGACGGAACGGTGAAGGCCAAACAAAGCGTCAAACTAGACTACAAACGCCAAGTGTATTCAGAGATCTCGGTTTTATGCGTAATGACACGGAAACTAGGAAACCAAAAAGTAGCAGGTGGGTTAGTAGGATGTTCCACAGGCATTGGGGTCCCGTGCCCAGCCTCGATGGACCCATGCCTGGCCTTTGTGGACTTGGGTGCGGTTGTTGGGGATCCAAGCATGGACACTAGCACCTCAACCCCAGCCTTAATGGACAAGGGCTCGAGTGTCGGGGAACCGAGGCCGACCTCTATGGGCTTCTTGGGCACTAGGGTCCCGCGCTCGTCTTTTGTGGACCAAGGCTAGGCTGCTAGAGATCTGAGCACAAGCATTGGGGCCTCGGGCTCAACCTCTAGATTTGGGACTGGTGCCTATACTCTTGCTCGGGACCCAAGTGCTTGTGCTTGGATCCCCGACGCTCAAGTTGGGGTCCATCGAGGCTGGACTGGGATCCCGGTATCCGTGCTTAGTTCTTTGGTTGCCCACGGCAAGTTACTAGTGCTAGAATAGTGTATTTGTAATTAGAAAAATCAAATCAGATTTTCCTTTTCAAATGGCAGAAAATATTTTTCGATTCTTTTTTAGGTTTTAACCAAACACTGAAAAATATTGACGTTGTCCTAGAATGTAGTTTCCAAAACGTAACAATTTCTGTGAAACAAAAGGAGCAAAAAAGTGTCTATTTGTACGATTCCTCCAAAGCAATATATCTAATGTTGGATATCCATCTCTTTTCCATCAACGGAAATGGTACTCAGGTGCTCCAACTCACCAACCATACCCCAACATCCATTTTCATAACACCAAATTCGCTATAGAGGAAAATCATCTGACGTAATAAATCAATTACTTATCATAGTCCTAATGAAATGATTGGTTTCTTTTATACTACTTGAAGAGTTGTTGATTATAAAACTCATAGGACTTCCCGTCTTGGTTAATTTGGCCAACCGAAGCACCTGTTTCCTGTCCTTTACTAGACTAGCTTCTCATATAAATTCCCAATCACACATTGCCCAACACCATCAAACCCCAACCCCAGCCCCAGGCATTGTCTATCCTGATTTCTAGCAGAAATCCTGTAATATCGTTGAGATCATATGGCACCGAAGAATATGAAGATCCTGGGCCTAGCGCTCCTCACAGTCCTCGCGGCGTCGCTCGCCCAGTTGGGCTCGGCGCAGTCGACGTCGGGCTGCACGCCGATGCTGATGACGCTGACCCCATGCCTCAACTACGTCACGGGGAACTCCTCCGCGCCCTCCTCCACCTGCTGCTCGACGCTTGGCTCCATCGTCCAGTCGCGGCCGCAGTGCCTCTGCCTGCTCCTAAACGGCGCCGGGTCGTCGCTCCGCTACAACATCAACCAGACGCTCGCCCTTGCGCTTCCCGGCGCGTGCAGCGTGAAGACACCATCGCCGAGCCTATGCAACGGTAATAACCTGACTAAAAAAAAGTATTAATCTTTGTGTTTTGGACATGATTTTAGGGTGATGTCTTAATTTACAATGCTAATTGAACCCATATATCCAGCACTGTCTCCATCAAGTGCTCCAACAACAAGTACTTCTGCAGACAACAACGCACCTGTTGCCCCAGCAGCAGCATCAACCCCAACTATTCCTTCCGGTAATAATTTCACTAGTTTCACACTTCTATTGCAACAATAATTCGGCAGTAAAATTAAAATTTAAGTGTAAAATGTTGGGGTTTTGCCCCGCTAAAATAAATTATGACTGATAAATGTTTTTCTTTTGGTTTAATCAAATGAAAAATCAGGGTCAAAGACTACACCTACCACAAGTGGAAGCAAAAGCATTGCAGTGTCTCTTGGCTCTCCGATCTTCGCCCTCGTTTTGGCGTTATTAGGATCAAATCCTCTCAAATTCTAGGATGAGAAATTTCATTTGATACGGCTGTGTCCTTCGTAATTTTCAGCCTGTGGAGTGAGAGTTTTGGGTTCCATGTTTTGTCCCGTACGTATTGTTAATTTGGTGCCGTGGACCGTAATTGAATTAGATTGTGGTGTGTACTTTATTGCTATGTTAAATCATGTTAGTTTCCTCTGGAAAATCCGAGAAGCAAAAAGACAGAACAGATATCTTTTAATAATAAAATTATAGAGAGTGATAGATAAATGAGATTACGAAGCAATTTATTGTGTTTCGGCTCTTCACTAGCCCAATAACAAGGTTGAAATCCACTGATGCAATACTTTAAGCCTTTCTTAACATGCAAAGATCAAGTTTCCTCTCCACGAGGGATTGTAACTCGCTTCACAAGTACATTCACTCGCTCTACGATCAAAGCACTACTTTATAATGATTACACCAACATTCTTTTAGACAATACAATCAGATTCCAACAGTTTTTTTACTCAGAGAATAAGCAGAATGAGTAAAAACAAGTTCGAGAGCGTTTTGAGATCCCCTCGGTCACCTTCAACTCTCACTTTGTCACGTACATGTAGGCCTCCAAGCTTGCCCAGCACGTTGGAGACTTCAAATAGGTTCAAGAAGCCATTGCACAGACTGTTTTTAGATTAAAACATCTACGTGAAGATAACTAATGAACCTTGCCCAAAGTAGACCAATTTCCTTTTGCGAACTACCCTTACACCTCTTCTACTTAGCCAAAAATCGCAAATCCCTTTGGGTTTCTTTAGAACGTTTCTTTGTGGGTTTCGAGGCCTGAAGTTGGCTCCAAAGCACTATTTTGAATTTGAATCAAATGGATTTAGAGTTGGTTCTTTAATCCAGGTACGCGAAGTATTATCCACTTCTTGTGGAGCTTGAACTTTCTCTATAGAATGCGGTCCATCCAGACTTGATGATTTTACCAAATCCCAAACTACGCACTTTTTGTGAAGTCCTTCCAAGTATAAAGACGTACCCATGTTATACAAGTTGTTCTCCGTCTATTTGATCCGTCCAAGCTCACCAATGATCCCATGCCCCTCGCTTTGTTCACCAAAATCAAATGGTCCTTCCAACTCTATCACTTTCCACTCGTTAACTTGTTCTCTATTTGCAAAGTAAGAAAGCTCTTCATTAGCGTAGACGTCCTGTTATCACCATCATCTGCATACGAACTTGTATACGTAGAGGATGTTTTGTCAATATACTTAAATACACTTATTAGTTCACATAAAATGTTTTGTCATCTTCAAAATGCAGAAGGAGTTGTCCCGATAAAGTGAATTCCCCATTTAGGCGCCATTAAAAGGTAGGATGAATCCGTTTGTTGCATTTAAGACAGTACTGGATAAAAAAGATTGTTTGGAGTGTACTACGGTTCACCATACAATCACTGCAATTACCTTCCTAATTTTGGGTTAAGTTACGGGAACACTCCTTCGGTGGAAAAACCTCGTTGGAGGTTTGTTAGAACCTATTAAATATATGTAATCTATCAACTTATATTTCGGTTATTTATGGCATTATCTCTCGGGCAGAATTAAGGCAAGCCTCTTGGAAATTCTATGCTCCTTCAAGAGATAAATGAATTCCCAGGTCCTTGTTGTTTATCTCTTTATACTCAACCCGATCTTACTATATTCGAATTTTATTTTGTCCGCAGTTAGCATAAAATATAGTTTACACGAGCTGTCTTGAATGTAAAACATATGCATATTTGGTCTCCATTTGGGGAAGCAGAATCAATCATGTTAAATTAAACATATAAAAATTCATAATATTTGTGCTGAAGATTCAGAGGTCTTTGACTATATTCACATAACTAACATTTAGGCCACCCAAAGCACCAAAACTAGCAATTATGACTATTGATTGCTAAATCTCTCTACATCAATTTTTTTCATTTTTTAATATCATATTTGACATCAATCATCCAAATCCACCAACAATCAGCACCATTAGGAGTCTAGGACACATCTGGGCATGAGCCTTGCTGTACGGTGGACAAATATTTATGCTAACAAGAACAGATCATTTTGAGACTATCCATTCGCAAGTTCTACGTAAAGATCCCCCACAAATAAAATGAACGAGTTGATGCCTTTTGTAATCTTTTCGATGACATAAATGTCTTTGTTCAAGGAAATTTGGCCACCTGAAGGCACCAATTCTGAAAGAATATGGACTAATGGAAAGCTAGAAGAAAGAATAGAAGGATAAAATTATGTATATTGCTTTCTCATGTATAAACTGAAAGAGTACATACCTATTTATAGTACACAGAGCAAACTAAACTTGGAAAAGAATATACAAAAAGGAGGAAAGAATAATTTCCCGATGTACAATATCCCAATAAATCAATTAAGGACAATCAAATCAATCTATGTCTTGGATGATATCTTCACCATATCAATTAAGGAACAAAGGTATCTCCAACACTCCCCCCTCAAGCTGGTGGCTTGTATACATCAAGAACACCTAGCTTGCTTAGTAGATACCTGTGTTGCCTCTGACATAAAGGCTTAGTGAAGATATCCGCAGGTTGTTCTGTAGTTCTTATTCCCATTGTCTTGATCACTCCATCCTGGATTTTGTCTCTGATGAAATGGCAATCAACTTCTATATGCTTTGTTCTTTCATGAAAAACTGGATTCACTGCCAATTTAAGTGCAGCATCGTTGTCACAAAATAGAGTTGTTGGTTCCTTTACCCATATACCAAGATCTCGAAGTAATCCTCTTATCCAGACAACTTCGCAGCTAGTCTTTGCCATTGCTCTATATTCTGCTTCAGCGGATGATAATGAAACAGTCGATTGTTTCTTTGTCTTCCATGAGAGTAGTGAGTTTCCTAGTTTGACGCAGAAACCCGTCACTGATTTTCTGCTCATAGGGCAAGTAGCATAATCTGTATCACAATATGCCGTCATTTCCATGTTGTTTTCCCGCGACAATAAAATGCCCAATCCAGGACACCCTTTTAGGTACTTCACTACTTTTAATGCAGCATTCATATGAGATTGTTTTGGATCATGCATGAATTGACTAAGAATTTGCACGGCATAGCATATATCAGGTCTGGTCATGGTGAGGTAGATGAGCTTTCCAACAAGTCTCTGGTATGCTGATGGATTTTTGAGTAATGGGTCCTCATTCAATGGTGACAACTCTTTGTCATATTCGGCAGTTGTCAACTTGGCATTCTGCTCAATTGGAATGACAGTTGGTTTGGTACCGGATAGTCCTGCTTCTGATATAATTTCTAAGACAAATTTGCGCTGACTGAGACAAATTCCTTTATCTGATCGTGCAATTTCAATCCCGAGAAAATATTTGGGAGGTCCCAAATCTTTAATGTGAAAAGTAGAATGCAGGTACTTCTTAAATTCCGTGATTGCAGATTCATCATTCCCCATAATTAATATATCATCAACATATATTAGCAAGTAGATTGATGATGTACCTCGACTCCATGTGAATAAAGCATAATCGTGCCTTAACTGTTGGAACTTTGCAGCTGTGAGTGCATTTGTAAATTTTGCATACCACTGACGAGATGCCTGTTTGAGTCCATATAAGGATTTGCGGAGACGACATACTCGATTCTCCCCCTGTCTCCGTAATCCTGGTGGAAGATCCATATAAATTTCTTCTTCTAGATCCCCATGAAGGAAAGCATTATGAACATCCATCTGATGCAGAGGCCAATCACGAAGAGCAGCAATGGAAAGAAAAGAACGAACAGTGACTTCCTTGGCTACTGGGGAAAATGTCTCCTGATAATCGAAACCTTCTCTCTGTGTGAATCCCTTGGCCACTAGCCTAGCCTTATATCGTTCAACTGAACCATCTGCCTTGTATTTTATTTTGTACACCCATTTACACCCAATGGGTCGCCGGTGGGGTGGTAAGCTGACAAAATCCCAAGTCTTATTCTCCATGAGTGCTCGTATTTCGTCTGCCATGGCCTTTTGCCAACGAGGATCTTGAACAGCCTCGTTGTATGAGGATGGTTCATGTTCCTCAGATATTCTACTAATGTAGCATCGATGTTCTGGTGATAAACGAGCAAAGCTAATATAAAAGGAGATAGGATAGCGTGTACCAGATGATTTTGAGGCAGAACAAATATAGTCCTTTGTCCATGTAGGTGGTCGCGTTGTGCGACTTGAACGTCGAGGTGCTGCAGCGTCAGGCTGATTGGGTGGCGGATGAGAATCATTATGTAGAGGACTTGATGGAGAAGCCATAGAATCTTCTGATAAAGTTGACGTTGCACCATTCATTTCTAATGATGCAGGAGGCGCCATATGGGGAACCATAATAAGCTGTGAGGGTGATAAATCTTCCTCATTTAAAAAAAGATGCAGATTGCCAGTGTCTTCCGGTCTTCTTTTTGAAGGTTTTTCTTCTTTGAAAGGGAAAATGTCTTCATGAAAAATAACATCCCTACTAACAAAAAATCTTCCGGTTGATGGATCAAGAACCAAATATCCCTTCTGAAGAGTAGGGTATCCCATAAATATGCACTTAATGGCACGGGGACCCAATTTGTCCCGAGGGCCCACAGTAGATACATAACATAAGCATCCAAAGACACGTAGGTGACGGATATCCGGTTTTTTGCCAAAGAGCAATTCAAAAGGGGTTTGTCCATTTAGGATCCGAGATGGCATTCGATTGATTAAGTAAGTTGCTGTGACCACACAGTCTCCCCAGAACGTTTCAGGAATGGAAGCTTGATATTTGAGGGCACGAGCCACCTCTAAAAGATGACGATGTTTTCTCTCGACTATCCCATTTTGCTGAGGTGTGTAGACACAGGAACTTTCATGAAGAATGCCATTCAAGATGAAAAGAGATGAACATTCATGATTGAAAAACTCACGGGCATTGTCAGCACGAATTCGTTGGACGGTTCTACGAAACTGATTCTTGATCAAAGCAAGAAAATTTTTAAGGTGGCGAAGAACTTGGGTTTTGGATTGCATAAGGAAAACCCATGTTGCACGTGTATAGTCATCCACAATGGTAAGAAAGAATCGAGACCCATCACGATGTGGTGTGTGGTATGGCCCCCAAATGTCCATATGTAACAAATCAAAGGCATTATTAGCACGTGATGTGCTTTGAGTGAATGGTAATCGCGATTGTTTTGCTAGTGGACAAATAGAGCATTTGGGGTGAGGAAAAGAAGCACTGTGACCAAGACGTTGATGAAATAAAGAGACATTTTTATTAGCATTGGCACTACACAATGTGCCCTTATTCAAGCAAAGATGCAAAAAATCAGAATTTTTGGGCGATGTGACCCAAAAATAAAATCCATCATGATTTTTACCCAAGCCCATCAGTTTCCCAGTCGAAAGGGCCTGAAAAAAACAGACATCCGAATCAAAGAAGATCCGACAGGAGTTGTCCTTACAAAGTTTGGAAACTGAAATAAGATTGAATTGAAACTCGGGAATGAGGAGAACATTTTTCAGTGTAATGGATGGATTAAGATGGACGTTTCCATTTGGGAGACGAACTGAAGTATTATGAGAGGATTTCTGGATATGGGAAAGGAAACGTTCATCACAGACTATATGGTCACTAGCACCTGAATCAATAATCCATACTTCAGACGAAATAGAGCTCATTAAGCAATAGGATATACCTGCATAACTAGCCATTTTGTCTTGGGTGCCCAGCTGGCTTAGAGCTTTCATAATCTGTTGGAATTGATCGTGATTGATAGGTTGGTTAACCTTGGCATTTGCTGCAACTGAAAAATCTCGATCTTTCCTTTCTTTGTCTCCTGGCTTCCCATGTAATTTCCAACAATTTTCTTTTGTATGATAAGGACGTTTGCAGAAATCGCAAAATTTACCTTTTCCTTTGTTGGAATTTTGGCCATTGGATCTAGAAGACGTGGCCTCTCGGCCGTTAGATGCTTTCCACGCAGGTACTGACGTGGCATGATATGCGCCGTCTGATTTGGGCGCGGCCAGGATGAAAGATGAGCCGTCTGATCGCGTTGTGCGCCCTGGACCGTCCGATCTTGGGGACACGATTAAATCGTGTCCATTCAATCTAAATGAAGAGACAGTGTCTTCTTCTTCTTCATTCAGCAACCCTAGCGCCGTGTTTGAGCGAGGAAGACCTCCACGGCCAGACTTCCACGCGGCGCGCCGTTGCTCCGGCGTCGCCTTTGCCGCAAGAACAACATGGTCGCCGGCCTTCAGGTACTCCGTGGACGCCAAACGTTGGGATTCTTCTTGCACGGCGAGTTGATAAATTCGTCCGAGTGAGGGTACCGGCTCCATGGCGAGAATTTGACTCCGAAAAGGTAAATAACTCTCGTTTAGTATGAGTAAGAATCTGGTTACCTTCTCCCGTTCCTTGATTGCTCGGTATTGAGTTAGTGTAGCCTCCGGTCCTTCAAGTTTCTCTTCTGCCATTTCGAGTTGGGCCTCCTTCTGGCCCACTATTTTCCACAGAGCCCGTCTGAACTGGGCTTGGTGAAGTCGTCGGACCGTGAACGGTCTGGGTCTGGACGGATTGGCCCTGAATGGACTGGATTTGGACAGGAACCCATTGGACGTATGTGCCCGGAGGAAATTGCCCTGTTTGGGGTTGAACCAGATCTGGTCGTGTATTCTGCCCTTCCTCCATTTGGTTTTCTTCGGTGATACGGGATGTATCTAGACGTGGATCCGAAGGAGGGTCATTTGAGGAGTTTTCAGGGTCGTTTAATGAACCAGACTTCGAATTCTGATTCCTGGGCATTTTTTCTTTTGCAGGCAAAAGAGCGATTTGCGGAAGCTTATTTCAAGTGCTCTGATACCATGAAAGAATATGGACTAATGGAAAGCTAGAAGAAAGAATAGAGGGATAAAATTATGTATATTGCTTTCTCATGTATAAACTGAAAGAGTACATACCTATTTATAGTACACAGAGCAAACTAAACTTGGAAAAGAATATACAAAAAGGAGGAAAGAATAATTTCCCGATGTACAATATCCCAATAAATCAATTAAGGACAATCAAATCAATCTATGTCTTGGATGATATCTTCACCATATCAATTAAGGAACAAAGGTATCTCCAACAAATTCTACTAGTCTGTACTGATACTTTTCCTGTATAAATCCCTCCACACATCTTATCCTTCACAAAAGCAATCAAGATCAAGTCCAAAAGAAACAAAAACAATTTGTGGGCATCGTTTCATTCCCTTTTGCTGAATCAAATTACTTCATAACGATATGGCTTTGAAGAGAATGCAGATGGGTCTCATGGCGGCTGTTCTCGTGGCATTTCTTGCTCATCCGAGCTCAGCATAGTCCACATCTGGTTGCACCACAGTGCTGATGACATTGACCACGTGTTTGAGCTATGTCTCGGGGAATTCCTCCATGCCGTCTTCCACTTGTTGCTTGACCCTCAACTCAGTCGTCCAGTCGCAGCCGCAGTGCCTCCGCTTGCTGGTCAATGGCGGCACGTCGTCGGTCGGGTACAACATCAATCAGACCCTTGCTCTGGGTCTCCCCGGCGCTTGCAGCGTGAAGACCCCATCGGTTAGCCTCTGCAAGGGTACGGTCTAAATCAATCATTTTGCATGTGAATAGTGATTAGTTGTTGGAGTTATTCTAATATCTGATACTTATGATAGAATCAACCAATTGATGATTCGTTCGCTAAAAATGACCTTACATTTTTCAGCAATCACTCCATCAAGTCCTCCTACAATAAGTTCTCCTGCAGATTCTTCAGACAACACACCAGCGACTCCAACAGCATCCTCAACCCCAACCATTCCCTCAGGTATGAATAAAATTGTCCTCTTAACGAAATGGCGACACTTTACAAGCTCTGTCACTGATTCTTTTTGTCCTTTCCATATTTTAAAGAAATTGTAGTAACTTATTGGTGGGGTTTGATGCTACGCCTGCTGCAACCAGTGCGAGCGGGAGCATCAAAGCGTCCTTTGGATCTCTTGCGTTTGCGCTCTTGCTGGTTTCATTTGGATCAAACCTTCTCAAGTCCTAAGAGAGAGTGAAAGAGATTTGGCACGTGCTCACTTTCTGTCATTTGTACTTGAGTGTTCTGTTTGTGGGTACTTGTGATATCCATTTATTGTTTGTTTTATTGGATTTTGTGCTATGCATTGGTTTTATTTGTGCTATTTCGATCTGTGTCTGAATATTTAAGAGCTTTGTGCTTCCTCTGGTATGCCTAAAACTCTAAAGACATTTTTGTCGAAATCAACAGATGATCTACCCCTGATCAAGTAGTAGATCTTAGTAGAAACCTTTATGATAAATCGTTACATAAGCAACTCCTATATCGAATGAGAGAGAGAGATTTTCAGTGAAAGTGCTTCATAGAAGTAACGATATGAAAATGGATCATAATTACGAAAAAGGAAAGGATGACAACGATGTGTCCAATGAAAGAGGGATGAAAAATAAGTATCACGAAGCCATTTGAAGGGTATGAATCTTTGCGACAAATGTGTAGAAACCTTAAAATGTCAGAAATGTGGATACTACCTAATTAATTGGTCGTGGAGCAGAGCGCCTGTGCGTAAAGTATTGGAGGAAAACTACCTTGACGATGTACTCCTACGTAGGAACCGAACTCTAAACCTCCCGCATCATCATAGGCTTATCATGTGAAAAGATTGATGGAGGGGTAACAATATATATACTTTCTTCCAATGGTGGCGTGTCGTTGCTCTGTTACAATACGCGTCATACTCTTGCTCTCGTTCTTCCAGGCGCTTCTAATGTGAAGACACCACCGGTTAGGCGATGTGACGGTGAAGGCCAAACAGAAGCATCGAACTGGATAAATTACCTCTGACCATCTCGATACCTTGATGAAGTTTTTGGGTCCATTCACTTACATTTTGAAGAACTGTGTATTATCAGTACTATGCGGTCCGCATATTTTTTGTATTTCGGCTCGTAACCGTTTTCTTGGCACTATAATTTTGCGCGCTCTTTTGATGAATAGCCAACCAAATGGAGCATTGGAGTTCAGAAATTTGTCGACGGCCTATGAGTTGCTCATTGATGGACCTGTAATTTCACCACCTAAAGCATGAATTGCCTCTGACAAGTCCTGCAGATTCTTCAGATAACTCGTCTAGTCTTCATTCCAGAGCATCCACCCAGAGCTGGCCCAGTATTAAACTTTAAGAAGACCCGTAGGCAACAAAAAAAAAAAGAGCCGAATTGCACGGACAATGTCAAGATATGAAGATGTGTACAGATGAAATCATCATCAACGGCTTGAATTTCAAGTATATCCAGATGTCGATATCCGAAGACTCCTTGCCGACCATGCATATATGAATTGAGATGGTAATCAGTTCGTCAAGGTTATATCTTGATTCTACTAGTAGCTTCTTGACTGTAACATAGACGATGCAAAGCAAAACGAGAAGCACACGTAAGAAGACGACTTTGTCGTTGGAAGAAGAATAAAGAATTTGCACAGTCCACCGTGCATGTAGTCTGGCTCACGAGAGCATCGAAGGAGTTGGTGACCCGCCACAATACCACCTGGCTTCACATCGTCCACAGTTTCCCATTTGACAATTAGAGTACACCAGCGAGAAAAATAACTTACGTAACGTTACACCAAGTTGTCTGAAATCTCGCTTTTCAAATAGAGAAGTTAAATCTTTTTTATCCTTTATATACATGATCCGCGAAGTCTTCCTGATCCACCCTACTCAATTCACCGACGATAATCCTAGTCCACAGCTACAATGACGGCCCCACGGTCTGCGATGCTTGTCATGGCGCTTGTTGCTGCGGTGGTGGCACTACTTTGGGCTGGAGCAGTGGCCCAGACGAGCTGCAGCAGCGCGTTGATAAGCCTGTCACCGTGCTTGAGCTTCATCACGGGCAACTCCTCGGCGCCGCCATCTTCAGCCTGCTGCACTCAGCTTGCGAGCGTCGTCAACTCGGAGCCGCTGTGCCTCTGTGAGGTCCTGAACGGGAGCGCCTCGGCTGCGCTGGGCGTGAACATCAATCAGACACAGGCGCAGAAGCTGCCTCCCGCTTGCAACGTCCAGACGCCGCCCACCAGCAGTTGCAATGGTAAGAACTAACGAGCAATACAAGTACACACATACATCGTAGGCTCGGAGTTTCCCTATCCAATGGGGGCTTTGCTCGTTATAAAGAAAAACATATACATCTGCACATAACTTATGTCAAGTTATATTCTCTAAGATTGTGCATCCCACTGATCTGCAGCTTTATCTCCGGCAAGGTCTCCGGTGGGATCGCCAAGTTCCACTCCCGGTACGTGTGCTTCTCTCTCTCTTTTATGATCAATATCTTTCATGGAAGATGCATAGGTAGAAAAAGGGAGTTTCACCTTTGGGATTTGTGTCTGGGTCTTATCCTAGTCGAAGACCATACTAATTTGTGCAAGCACGAGTGATCATATACAAGAGACCGAACACGGCCCTCCGACACCAGAGAGCCCCTCTATATGCGAACCCGAACGAGGCATCGCGTGACCAACTGATGCAGCATCACGCACCGCGTGGACACGCCGAACCACGTTTCTCGCGCCGCGGGACAACTAAATCTCTGTCGTTCTCCTCAAGAGTAGCGATGATGTTCCGAGATTACTCACACGTTTGCAAAATTACTGTGATCAGGTCGGATCTCATCAGATGGACGCAGCACCGACGTGAAATGGTCCCTGGTCCTCTTGACGCTCTTCATCGCATCGCACGAAGCCGTGATGCTCGTGCAGAACAACTTGGACCCAATATAAGCTCGTTCTTTGCATCTGTTTCTTTTCTCCATCGATGCCCTGTACACATGCACATAATTTGAATAGTATCGTAAAATAGAGAGGGGATCTACTCCTCCGTACACTCTGTTATTTCCCTCGTTTGATGAATAAAAGATGTTCCGGTGCTCCTAAGTAAATAAGAAATTTTAATTTTTGGTCCAGAAGAGGGGATCGTAGAAACCATTTTACGCTTATCACATCCGTCGTCTTCTTTATTGGAACTTATAACATCGATTTTCAACGTGAAAAAAAATGTAGCGCTGACATTTTTAGGTGATCGACATATATCGGTTACAATCTAGTCAAATTACTACCATGATTCGGTACGTAACAAGATGTATCGGGACATGTTTCCTATCACCTACGCGACATCAAACATCTTTCAAGAGACTCGAGGCATGACACTACTCGAAATGAGACATGTCCATGACCTATAGTTACAACGGAGCCAAATAAGCAACAAATCAAGCAACAATTAGCTAGGGCGCGATCCACATAATCAAGCTTCGTATATTTCTTCGTCTCCAATTTTGATCTCCCAATAGTATCGATACCGAGAATTACGGGAAGCATGCATGTCCATTGACTTTTGTAAATTGTTCAATCAGGTGTCTTTACTGTTTGCTTTTGTATTAGAGTGGTTCTTCCATCAAAATTGTGTGATGACGTGGTTGTTAAGGGCGTGCATGATAGCTATTATGTTTATCTGTTTTTTTATTTTTCTGTTCTCGGGAACAAGTTTGGAACAGAAAACCGTTTGGTAACGCAATTTTATTTTTCTATCTCCGGAACAAATTTTTAGTCTAGAAATAAGTTTGGAACAGAAATGAAAAGTAAAAAAAATTATACTTTTCTGTTTTTGGAACAAAAAGAGAATTAAAAATTTATCTTATCGCTCGCCCTCGCCTTCCACTTCCCATAGCCACCATAAATACGAAAAAAGAAAATTTGAAAAAATAAATAATTAGACGAGGCGACGTGCCGACGCAAGTTGTGTGACCCCACATCAGATTTGGCCTTAACACCCAACCTCGACCAAGTGGCGCTTGGGGTCGCTCGACCCTAAAGAGGACTCGCAATGGCTTGGTAGCTTTCACCGATACGTAGCCAGCGATGTCGCCCATTCTTCTCTCTTTTTCTCTCTCTTTTTGGGTACGATTTGTTTTCATGTATTTTCTAATAATTTCTCTGGTCAACACAATAGAGGCGTCGTTGTATCTGGCCAGCGCTCACGTGGCATTGACGTTTAGCCCACGCCAACACCTTCGTTTCTATTTTAATAGAAGGACCAAATTAAAACGAAAAATTTTATATACTTTAAGAACCCAATTGCGCAACAAAAGAATTTAGGGAACTAATCCAGAGACCTCGCCCATTTACCCCTTTAACCCGAACCAATTCGTTACTCAATTTGCTCAAATTATTTCTTAGGATTAGGACGAAAAGTACTTAGAAAGATAATTTTGTGCTAACTCACAAAAACTCACCAATCTATTCCAAGTTAGACCATTAATCATCACAATAGAGGTAATGCATAGTAAGCAAGCATTATATCACACACACCAAGTGGGTCTAAACCTCCAAATGTATTCAAGTACGTTGATAATACTATTTCCACATTATGATTAAAACTGAGAGATAAATCACTCGTTAGTCAGACCACAAGCCTCCTTTGGCTTTTTACGATTTTGGCCCCCGACCCGCTAAAACCCAAATCGAAAACCCTAGACCGGCTCGGGGTCTTTGCCGACGGAGCCGAGTGGCGGGGAAGAAGAGATGGTGGACGCTCAAATGGAGGAAGGAGACAGCAACACCCGAGACATCGAAGTGGCTCCCGCCTTGATAGCCGTGCACCCTGCCCAGGGATCGGTCGCAGTCGCCGTCGGATCGGACCTCCGCGTCTACGATCTCATGTAAGCGGATCTCTCCTTCGTTGGACCCTTCCCAGTTCAATTCACTCGTTACCGTCCGCAATGGGGTTATGCCCTGTTCCAAGTGCATGGCGAGTACCCCGTGTGAACCCGTGGAAGTGGCGAAAGTTTTGGCCTTCTGTGAAAATTTTGGGTTGAATTTTCCTGTACGTGGGGAAAAATTCCAGCTTCTTGGGGCATATGGGTCGGAAGATTTTGGCTTCCATGATGTTATTGTCGCTCGAAGTTCTGGTCTTCTGAGGTTCTAGTGATCAGAGTGTCTCTGTTTTTCCGCTTTTTGTCGTTGGAGGTAATATCAGTTGCTCTTGTTGTGCTCGACCAGCTACATGTGCAATAGACAAAATGCCGGAGTTTACTTTGCTGCTTTTGAGTTTAGTTCAAATTAGCTGAATGGTTGACCGCTTGCCATGGTTATCTGACAGTGGAGATTGTCCTGTCTCCTTGGTGGATGATTCCGCGAAGCCTTTCCATTCGGATTCGATCAGAGCTATTCGATATGGTGCGAGCGGGAAGCTTTTCGTATCTGCTGGGGATGACAAATTAGTCAAGATATGGTCCACGGATTCTTGGCTCTGCATCAGCTCAGTGTAAGTGTTTAACGGTTGGAGTTTGACGAAGTGATGAATTCTCTGGAGTCAGTTTGTTGGAACTGCAGAAATCATGCCAAGAGGCCCATTTCCTTTATATAAATTTTCTTTGTTTGGATGGATGTTATATCTGTCCGCTGAAGAGTGTATATATATAAGCAAAACTGTTTATCGTTTCATTCTGAGCAGATGCAATAGTGCTGAGTACCTCTATTTTCCAATTACATCTTGAGTGTTCTGATTTTCCATCCGATATATTTGGTTTTTTGGCTTCAAAGATAGAAACTTTACTTGCCAGTGGAGGATGTTACTCCCTTGCATTTATAACATCTCATTCATGTAAAGTACTGATGATTTCCTGCTCATAGAATGAGTTTAATTTGCAAATGACATGGGAGGTTCATTTGATGTGCGACCAATCTCTCATTTGCACTCCTTTGGGAGATATACCTATTTGTTAATTTTCATTTGAACTCAATTTGAGACTGAAGTGGTAAATTCCTTCTGCTTGCTTGTTGAACTGTTCTTTTTGTTTTTTTTCCCTTTGGCACTCTGCCATTAGTTTCATTTCTGACGTCTACCGAATTTCTTGCTCTTGTTAAACTGATGGCTCCATCATGGTTGCTAATTTTGTAGGTGCTGTGAGAAGAGAGTAAGTGCTGTTGCAGTAAGCAATGATGGCCTATTTGTGTGTTTTGCTGATAAATTTGGAGTTGTTTGGGTTGTGAGTTTAAAGGAGGATGCTGAAAATCAGGCTTTGCCTGATAAAAAAGCAGCACCAATGCTGGCTCACTATTGCAGCATCATCACTAGCTTGGTAAGTTGGTTTCTCTTTCAATGTGTCCCTTTTATCCCCTTCTCTGTGTCCAACGAACCCAGATAAATTTTAACTATTGTTAATCTTTTGAAAGAGAACTCAAATGTTAAATTCTTTTATTGATTTTGGTAATGCTTAATATTTGCTAATTTTTGGCTTGACGTCATGATGACCTTTATGCTTTTGAATGCTTTCGTTGTTGTGTTATAAGTGAAGGATCTTTTGCAGGAATTTTCTCCAGATGGACGGTTCATTGTCAGTGCTGATCGGGATTATAAAATTCGTGTAAGGCTATTACCTATCTACCAGTTAAACTTCTAGGTTGTTCTTATACCAATCTTGTATCATTTTGTAATTTTGACAGGTTACTGTGGTTCCCAAGAATCCATTGGATGGGGCTCATGAGATACAAACTTTTTGCCTGGGTCATTCTGAGTAAGTGTCTATGCATTGAAGTTTGAGGCCGGGTGTTTCGAATAGAAATTTTGAAAATTCAAGATTTTGGCTTTTTCTGTTCCCTTGACACTATTAAACATTGAATCACGTATGGTGTTCCGAAGATTTTATTGGCAGATTGAGTGGGGTACTGAGTCGCTTTATTTTGGATGTTGATGACAGATATGTGTCCTGCCTTGACTTCATTCATTCCCCAGATTATCCACATGGGCTTCTTGTTTCAGGAAGCGGTGATTCCACTGTGAGTGATTGCAGCTGAGAAGTTTCCCTGGTTTACATAGAGTCTAGTTTTGCATAAGTACTCTGTGCATCTTTCCTCTGTAGGTTCGCCTTTGGGACGTGACATCGGGTTCTCTCTTGGATACTTGCGAAATTGGAGCTAAGGTGTTGGTTCCTCACTCCTTTGAATGTTAAGATGCTATCACTGACTTGAACGGGTCTAAGATTTTTGTCAGACTTATAATGCTTCAAAGATTCTATGTAGTTCCTACTTCCACAGAACTGTATTCAGGTTAACTTATGTCTCAGTTAACCATCAAATGTGCTTGCACTTTCACAATAGAGCAAAAAGACTAAGAATCTTAGGTGTGGTTCAAACTTGCTGCTGTTTCCTATATATTCCATTGCAGTCTTTCATTATAATTTTGTTCTGCTTGGTTCTTCACCCGGTTTGACAGAAGGATTTACTTTCTTCCTGAAGGCGGAACTTTCAGCTACTGATGGAACAGAAGAAGAGCCCTGTCATGCTGTCACAGATCTTTGCACTTGTCCAAATGGTACATCCATAGCATTGGCAGTTCAGAGGCAAGTTCCAGGATACTCTTTAGGCTTCAACCTGGAAGATTTCTTGATTCATTTTCTTGATTCTGATGCTTCATGTTTGGTTTTTGTAGCTTGAAAGGTGTAATGCTTTTGAACTGCGATCTTTCTGCTAAAACTCTTTCTATAGCCAAGGTAAGCATATTCCTAGTACTCTCCCTGTTTTGTAAGGATTTTGGTTTCATTTTCAAATAGCCAGCAAGTACATGCGATGCATGGTCAATTTTCTTGCGACATGTCTATGCATTAAGGTATCGATCTTAATTTTAACGTGGATCGCACATGCTTTGTTGTTATGAGTAGGTTGCAGATTGCAATCTATTGTTGCTACTTTAGGACCCTTTTCTATATGGTTAAACGCATACATTACGTTGTGTAGGTCCCTTGACTGCTGATTTTCAGGTGATACTCATTGATGGAGAGACCTTAATTCCAACAAGCTTGGGGACAAGCTTATCCGAGGGGTTTTTGTGGATGGTCACCGGTATTTCTAAGTTGCGTGGTTTCGACCATTCCTCTTTGGCTCGAGTGAGGGCCGTGCCTGCTTTAGAGGACAACGGTCGGGATGTACAGCCGGTTTTCCTGCGCGATGACGAAATCCCAGGAGGCGAGCAACTGCTCGAGAGGTTGCAAGGGAGCGTGACGATAGATAATGACGTCTTCCTTGCGGCAGCCGAAGCTTTGAAAACCGCAATGCGCAGCTTGATGATTAAGAAGCAATACTCGGACGAAAAGCGGGAATTCAGGAAGAGAACGAGAAATGATAGGAAGCTGAAACATTGAACAATTTTGACTAGTGATAGTTCCTTTCTCATTTTTACCAGTTTTTCCTTTTCTTTTCTTTTGTAAGATTTATAAGCAACGAGCCTGCAATTTCCTTGTACGCGTGGCTGCATAGTTGTTGCAGTTGTATTAATCAAATGAAAAATTGGTTCTTTATAGAATCTGGTTATGTTGGAAAGAAAAGCACTTGAATGTGAGGATGAATGTGTAACTTAGTAAAGTAAAATTAGATATGAACTAGTGTCGTCTTTTGCTATAGTGGAAACAACTGCTCATCTCTCAGAAGACAAATCATCATAGCATATCCACTTCGTTCGACTTAAGAAGTTAAAACATGATTAAAAAAAGAAAAAACTTAAGAAGTTAATTAATTGCCATGTGAGTTTTGCACTACTAACAGAAATAACTGGATTAACTCGTTAGAATATTAGAAAAAGATACATTTGATGCATGGTGCATGAACATTTATCCCTGCATTAACTCCCAAGACTTTACATACACGACTTAACAATTGTAAGGAATTATCAATTGCCCTATTACTTGACAGAAATATCGACTTGTCGAAACTTGGGGCCAAATCAATTTCCAGAAAACAGAAAAAACTCAAATGTCTACAGCGCATCTCAAGCATCTCCAGGAGGCGCTTGATCACCAGATGTATGGCAGACCAGGCTCGGCATCCGTCGCACCAAATCTCGCACGTCTCCACCCTTGAGCCCCAGCTTTGAGTCGAAATAACCTCGGTGGATTTCCTTGAGAATCCGAAGAGCCATCGCCAACATGTCGTCGTCCTCATTGCGGCCGAAGCTGGGCCGCACGCCCCGCTTTCCGCTCCCGTGAGAGAAGTACCAAAACGGCTCGATCGATATCAGGTTGTCCGCGTGGTCCAGCCATACGGTCTCGGTGTCGTCCACGATCAGTACGTTGGACGCTTTGGCCAGGACCACGTCGAGGCTCTTGCGGCCTCTGAGCGTGCAGTCCTCCCGCGTGATGACCCGATCACTGAAGAATTCCCCGTCGGGGTCCAGCAGCTTCGTCATCCTGGACGAATATACCCGGCCACCCATCGTGTAGACCATGAGCTGGAACATCTCATGGGCCTCTCTCAAGAACTCCCGCACGAACGGCCTCAGCTTGGTGATGAAACCCTCGCCGGTCTCCGACCCAACAAAGAAGATGTCGCCGCCGCCGCCGCCCGCAGGACCGCCTTCCGCGTTCCGCGCGGCCTCGGGCTTGAGCCGCTCCACCTCCTCGGGGGTGAGATTGGAGAGCCGGACGGTGTGGAGGAGGGTGTGGTCCAAGTCGAGGACCAGGTGGAGCTTCTGCAACCCTAACGCGGCCGCGGTGCTCGCCTCGCGCATCCGATCGGCGTACTCGCGGCTGAGCCTCAAGGAAGGATGGAGGAACCCGAAGGGGAGGCTGCGGTCGTCACCGTCGTCGTCGAAGAAGACGGCGCGCCCGCACAGCAAGCACTTGCGTTCGAGGATCACGGGATGGGAGCACTCCACCTTCCGCCGCTTCGCCCGATCGCTGGCGACCCAACGGAAGGGCGATGGGCTGGGGTAGGCGAAGGAGACGGGCGTGGACTTGCGTAGGTTGGCCATGGATGATGGCTGCTGCTGCTTCGAACGACGATGAATTCGAAAACGAGAGAAGGGAGGAGGGAGAGTAGGTCTGAAGCGTGTGCGAGTGTTTTCTCGGGGCTTTGGAATGAGTGAATATGACGTTGATGGTACTACGCTTGAGCCAATAAAATAGAGTTTTGGGAGATTTTTTTTATTTTATTTTATTTTTCTCGAAATAAAACAGAGACGCGTACGAGTGTTTGTCTTGCGACTTTCCTGTTATAGATCGATCTCCCGAATATTGCCTAATCAGATCAAATCCAAAACTTGCGTCTTGACCCTGCTGTCCTTAGGTTACTGCTTCGCATCTCTTCTTCTTCGACACAAATTGAGTTATGGCGAACATAAAAAACAGTCTCGTTGGCTAAATATGTTTTTTAATGTGACCTAGGTTGTTAATTTCGTTTATTGACTAAAGAAGAAGGAAAATAATTGCTAAACCAATGCACAAAGTTTTCGGGCTAATTCCAATAAAACAAATACAAATTTTACCTTGAGTGGCAATTCTTGCCCGAAACTTTTTTTATCTCGATAAAAAGCACCAACTTTTACTCGAGTCCCAAATTTGGTCCTTGTGATATGAAATTTTCAAGCCGTTCCGATCAGATTTGGGATTTAAGTGAAAGTTAGTGATTTTTGACGAGACAAAAAAAAGTTCGGGCCAGAATTATCGCTCAAGGTAAAGTTGGTGATTTTTCTTTTTTTTTTTGGAATTAGGCCTGAAGTTTTCTAATTTCGCTCTTGCGTTATCATTTTAGTTGCCCATATGTAAGGGTGGATTTCCTCGTCAGAACTGTGGAAGATTAGCTAACTTCCTCATCTTGATACATTAAATTGGTAGATTTACAAGGCATTAGCCATGCGTGTAGCATTTCCATACTAGGCATTGGCCATTCTTCTTTTTGACCATTTTGATGTATTTTTCCCATTACTATTATGGAATTGTCTAAAAAAGGTAAGTTTTTATGTAGTTGACGATAATTGACACGATAAAATCCGATACCGATGCGGTGTGTTTGCAATGTACTTTATGAGAATATGAAGTGATGTCAACACAAAATTATCGTATTTAAATCCACATTAATCATGTTTATAGCGAAAAATAAGCGATCGAACAATAAAATAAAATAGCTATAACATGAAATAAATTGGGTACTAAATTTACGTGGGTCAGTCCACGTGACCTATTTCACCGGGAGAGCAGCACATGATTCCATTATAAATTAAGCGACACGAGGAAATTACTTTCTTCCTGAAACGACTACTGATGGAATACAAGAAGAGCCCTGTTATGATGTCACAGATCTTTGCACTTGTCCGAATGATACGTCTATAGCATTGGCACTTCAGAGGCAAGTTCAAGAGATACTCATCTCTCTGTGTTTCAACCTGTAACATTTCTTGATTCTGATGCTTCATGTGTGGCTTTCCCTAGTCTGTCTCTCTGGATTTGTAAACGATTTTCACGTTTCAATTCCGAATAGCCGGCAAACACAGGCAATGCATGCGTGGGTCAATTTTCTCGACACGTTTTCATCTCATCGACCCATTGTAGCCAGACCTTTGAATGGGTGGACTGTGTTTGACAATGTCTATATGAATTATTCAATCTTATGCCTAAAAGTTTAATTATAAGCGCATACATTAGAGAACAAGAAATGACAAGAAGTTTAAACATTGAACAATTTTTACCAGCGATAGATCCTTTCTCAAAATCAATCATTATCAATTGTAAGTCTGTTGTGGACCCCATGTAGACTCGATTTCTCTTATGTCCAATCTTGTTTATGTTGTGAACAATTTACTAGAATCATTAAGTACTAGTCCGGTTTCCGGTTCTAAGCGTGGAACTGTCCATCCGTCCACCCGGATCGGATCAGTAATATATATAATTTTTAAGAAAAATTTTCAACTAAAAAAAAAGAAAATATATCAAGAAAAATGAAAACCTTAAAGTCCATAATTTAAAACTCAACGCTTATCAACTAAGTGCTCATCTCATCTCACTCTCACTTTGTCTGAGTCGCCTCTCTATCTCTCATTCATGGTCTCGACTCTTAAGCTCATCACCCATTGACTCACGGCCTTGACTCTCAACTCCTATCAATTCACGGCATTGCCTCCGGCCATTCATTGACTCCCTTTCTTGCTCTCGGTTAACTACATTTGCGTGAAGCTTGGTGGGACCGATTCTGTGGACCCATCGGGGAACTGGACAGGACCGGCGGTCCGATTCTCAAGTGGATCCATCGAACTAACGGGCGGCTCCCGGTTCTAACTTTTCAGAACTGATCCGTGGAACCGGGAACTGCCCACCCGGACCATACTCACCCCTAGTTTCAATCGTATTAATCAAATAAGTAATTGGTCTCTTGCTCCCAAAATGGCATCCGGTGATGTTGGAAAGAAAATCATTTGAATGTGAAGACCCATGTGTTATTTGACAAAGTGTAAATAAGAACGATCAAATGTCATTTGTCGAAATTAAAATTGAAAGCTTAAGATAATGCGAGGGATGACTCGTTTTCAACCGAATTACCCAACGGACTGACGGCTAAAGAAGGCAAATTATCCTGGCAAATCCACTTTGTTCAGCTTAAGATTTGAATAACTTATGGAGTTAATTAATTGCCACGTGCATTTTGCCGCCCTTATGCAGTAAAATTGATCTCAACTTGTGACAATATCACAAGGAACACATTTCACAGTGCATGAACATTTTTCCTTTCCTTAAGTCTGAAATTTATATACGCGAAATTAACGATCGCAAGGACTTATTGCTTCTGCTCTAACACTTGATGGAAACAGCTGACTCACCATATATCGGGCCCAAATCAATGTTCAACTTACGACACCAGAAAGACATAATGAATCCAATTTTTACATTACATCTCCAGGAGGAGCTTGATCATCAGACGTACCGGGGACTCGGGTCTGCATCTGTTGCATCACCTCTCGCACGTCCCCGCCCTCAAGCCCTAGCTTCGAGTCGAAGTAACTCCTGTGGATTTCTTTGAGAAACTGAAGAGCGGTGGCCAACATGCTGTCTTGCTCGCCCTCGTCGTGATCGGAGCCGGGCCGCGCACGCCGCCTCTTGCTCCCGTGAGAGAAGTAGTAAAACGGCTCGATCGCTATCAGGTTATCTGTGTGATCCGGCCACACGCTCTCGGTGTCGTCCATGATCAATATGTTGGATTCTTTGGCCAGGACCATGTCGAGGTTCTTGCGGCCTCTGAGAGTGCAGTCCTCCCGTGCGATCACCCGGTCGCTGAAGTATTTCCCGTCAGGGTCCAGCAGCTTCGTCATCCTGGACGAATACACACGGCCTCCCATCGTGTAGACCGTGAGCTGGAACATCTGGTCGGCCTCTCTCAAGAACTCCCGCACGAACGGCCTCAGCTTGGTGATGAACCCCTCGCTGGTCTCCGACTCAACCAAGAAGACGTCGCCGCCGCCCTCGACACCACCTTCCGCGTTCCGCTCGGCCTCGGGCTTGAGCCGCTCCTCCTCCTCGGGGGTGAGATTGGAGAGCCGGATGGTGTGGAGGAGGGTGTGGTCCAAGTCGAGGACCAAGTGAAGCTTCTTCATTTCCAACGCGGCGGTGGTGATCACCTCGCGTATCCGATCGGCGTACTCGTAGCTAAGCCTCAAAGAAGGATGAAGGAAGCCAAAGGGAAGGCTGTGATCATCGTCGTCGACGGCGCGTTCGCACTTCAAACACTCGCCTTCACAAATCAAGGGATGAGAGCACTCTACCTTTCGCCGTTTCGTGCCATCGGGAGCGATCGAACGGGAGAGTGATGGGTTGGGGTCGGCGAAGGAGGCCGGCGTGGATTTGTATGGGTCGGCCATGGACGGTTCGAACGATGAACTTGAAGATGTGAGGCGAGAGCGAGAGTAGCTTTGAAGTGGGTGTGCTTTTATAGGGCTGTGGATGAAAATGAATTCCATGGTACGCTTCATCAAATGATATCTGGGTTTTGTTATTTATTTTCATTTTATTCTTTCGAAATAAAGCAGAAGACGGCTAGAACATGTTGTACATCTTGCAATTTTCCTATCATGGATTTTTCTAAAAAAGTTAAGCTTTTATGTGCTTACGGTAATTGATTCGATAGAATCCGATACCGACGCGGTGTGTTGGCAATGTACTAATGCGTTCATAAAGTGATCTCAATACAAAATTATCATATTTGGATTCACGTTAATCGTATTTTTGTGTGTGCAAAAAACAAGATATCAAACAATAAAATTAACAGAACAAGGAAATAAATTGGCAGAGCAACATATGATTTCAGATAAATCAAGCAATACAATTGAGACTACAATCACACTCGAGTTACTCAAACATTTTTAGTATTTTCCAATCCCTAAATTACATAGGGTTTAGCCCGGACAATTTCTCGCAAATTTTATCACAAGATTTATTGGTTTCAAAGCACTTGCAATTTTTTTCATGATGTAATTTACGAGCAGATCACACAATTGATTGTTAAGGTCAAAATCTCATTTGCTCGGTAAAGGGCAAAAAACCAACACCCATCTTTCGCACATGTAACATATGGATATAAAAAGGGAAACCTACTGAAACTAGGAATCCAACTTCGACTTAGCAAGCATTCCTATTATTTCTTTCTTGTTGGGGCATCAAATCAGAAGTCCTATTTTGACTTGGAATTTCTATTATGATCGAGTTTCCTTCGCGGGCTCAAATTCGAAACATGTTTTCTACAATATCTTGTACGTGAACAAATATCTACATATTTCACATTTAATTTGATTTTTACCCAACACCATTTTGATATCAATACAATTTTTAAGAAACACACTTTGTTAATTTCATGTCAAAGGCGCTTTTCTCGTCGTTCTATTCCCATAGAGCTGGAGTGTATTGCATCGAAACACCATGATCCACGAAGTTTATTACTTGACGAGTTTGAAAATACAACATTCATCTACCAAACTCACATTTTGCCATGTACTCGGCCCCCTGTAAGGTAATCGTTAGTATCTTCCTGTTGTAAATTCTCAATCTCGAGTAATCGTCAGTATCGGATTTTCCCGTTGGTGAATCAGATCTTTAACATCTGTGTTGCGTACCTAAACCATATTTCACAATCATCTTCGTATATATAAATGGTTCTTAAGTCATAGAGGGCCAAGGTTTAACTCTTGTCAAGGTCGAGTTATAGTGATATAAGTTGTCTTATATCTTGAAAGTTACTAATCATGATTTAGAAAGTTACTAATCAATTAAGGGAAAATGACACAAACAGTCACTGAACTTTGGTCTAATGTGCAATTTGGTCCTTGAACTTTTAATTTGTTCAATATAGTTCCTAAATTTTAGTCTAATGTTTAATGTGGTCCCTGAACTTTTAATTTGTTCAATATGGTCCCTGAACTTTTGGTACACATTCAATTTAGTCCCTAAACTATATCAAAATGTTCAATGTAGTCTCTGAACTTGAATTAATGAAAGGACTATATTGAACATTTTCATATAGTTCATGGACTAAATTGAACATGTACCAAAAATTTAGGGACCACATTAAATAAATTAAAAGTTTAGGGACCACATTGAACATTAGACTAAAGTTTAGGGACTACATTAAATAAATTAAAAGTTCAGGAACCAAATTGTACATTAGGCCAAAGTTTAGGGACTGTTTGTGTCATTATCCCATCAATTAACTAGATGAAATTAATGACAAGAAATTATTAAAAGTTTGATTTTAAAATTACCATTAGCCCTTTGCAAATTTCCAATCGGGGATGAAAAATAAATGATTTTAGTTAACGAATTTTTAGAATTTCGAGATTCAAGTAACCGTTATTCTAATTGTAGGTGCAAAATTCTCACAGTATATAGTTAAGGTACATTGCACCTTTATGCATACTGTTCTGACATTCGCCCTATGCCAAGGCCAAATATTTCAGTTGTTTGATAATTACAATGGACTTGAATCCTGGCACATCTTTTATGCAGTATTGCTTTATTTTTCTTGTGCATTTTCCTTATTACGGAAATTGGAAATTTAATTTGATCTATAAATTTCCATTTACTTGTAGCCTTAATGAGCAGAATGAACATTTTCCTCGTCCTTCACGGTTTGATCATTTGCGACTTGACCGTGATTAAAGAAGATCTATTTAGTCCTCCCTGAGCTTCAAAATCCAGACATAACCAACAAAAAAGTGGTAAGCCAATGGCAAATTGGAATCAAAGGGATTCAAGGATCAATCAAGCTCTATTATTAATACTTAATTAAGCCAAATTACTCAAAGCATTCCATAGAGGTCATTACATGTATGAGCGAGGCCACTAGTGTTTATCATTTCATTTCAAGCAGATGCTATTACGTCTTTTTTCCTATTACGTCTCGAGGGTGCTGATGTTCCATCCGACATATTTGGATTTTTGGCTTGAACGATAAAAACTTCTCTTGCCAGTGGTGAATGTTCCTTGCAATTATAACATATCATTCATGTACAGTACTGCTACCCGATGACTATAATTTGCAAATGACATGGGACGTTCATTTGATGTACGGCTATTTGCTCTTTCGCACTCTTCTGTGAGATTTATCTGTCTGTGATGATTCATTTGAACTCAAATTAAGACTACGAAATGGTAATTGCCTTCTGCTTGGTTGTTGAACTGTTCTTTCTTTTTCCCCTTTGGCGCTCTGCCATTAGCTTCATTTTGTGACTTCTACCTGATTTTTTACAAGCGATGATTTTTGTTCCTGCTTGCTAAACTGATGTCTCCATCATGTTTGCTAGTGTTGTAGGTGTTGTGAGAAGAGAGGAAGTGCTGCTGCAGTAAGCAATGATGGCCAGTTTTTGTGCTTTTCTGATAAATTTGGAGTTGTTTGGGTCTTCAGTTTAGAGGAGGATGCCGAGAATCAGGCTTTGCCCAATAAAAAAGTAGCACCAATGCTAGCTCGTTATTGCAGCATCATCACTAGCTAGGTAAGTTGGTTTTTTTTGTCTTTCAACGTGTCCCCATTCTCCCCTCCTCTGTGTCCAACATACCCAGGTAGATTTTAACTCTTGTTAATCTTTTGAAAGAGAAGTCAAATGTTTAAGTTCTTATCTTGATTATGGTAATGCTTAATATTTGCTAAGCTTTAGCTGATTTAGTCAATTCGCTGTGCTACATCAAGTGGGGTACTAAGTTGCTTTGATTCTCATGTTGATGACAGATACGTATCCTGCCATGACTTCAATGATTCTCCAGATTATCCACATGGGCTTCTTGTTTCAGGATGTGGTGATTGTGATTGCAACTGAGAAGTTCCCTGGGTTACATAGAGTCTAGTTTTGCATTAGTTCTCAGTGATCTTTCCTCTGTAGTTCGCCTTTTTGGGACGTGACATCGGGTTCTCTCTTGGATACTTGCGAAATTGGAGCTGAGGTATTGCTTCCTCACTTCTTTGAATGTTAAGACACTATCACTGACTTGAACGGATCCGAGTATTTTGTCAGACTTACAATGCTTCGAAGATCCTATGTAGTTCCTACTTCCGCAGACCTGTATTCAGGTTATCTTATGTCTCCGTTAACCAGCAAACATTCATGCAATTTCACGACAGACTAAAAAAACTAAGAATGATTGTGATTGGTTTGAAGTAGCTGCTGTTTCGTATATCTTCCATTGAAGTAGTTTGCAGATTGTAATCTTTTGTTGCTACTTCAGGACACTTTTGTATGTGGTTAAGCGCATACATAAGCGAGCAATAAAGGACAGGAAGCTAAAACATTGTGCTTTTGACTAGTGATATTTCCTTTCTCATTTTTTACAAGTTTTTTTTTTAAAATTTATAAGCAATGGGCGAGTAATTTCTTTAGTTTTGTATTAATCAAATAAATAATTGGTTTTTATAACATCTGGTTATGTTGGAAAAGAAAATCATTTGAATGCGGGATTAATGTGTAATTTGGTAAAGTTAAATAAGATATGAACAAATGTCATCTTTTACTATAGCGGAAACAAAATTTAAAAGCTTAAGATAATGCGAGCAAGGACTCATCTTTCAGAAGACAGATTACTATGGCAAATCCACTTCCTTTAGCTTAAGATTCAAAAGAAGTTAATTAATCGCCATATGAATTTTGGATAGCTATACAGAAATAACAGAAATAACCGTATTAACAAAAAAAGGGTTAGAAAATTCCCATGAAGATTTGTCCTTGCATTAAGTCCAACGTTTATGTACACGATTTAACAATTGTAAGGAGTTGAGCAACTGCCCTAACACTTGACAGAAACAGTCGATATGCCTAAGCTTTAAGGCCAAATCAATCTTCAACATACAATACTGGAAACTGAATAAACTCAATCTTCACCGTCTATCGCTTGATCACTAGACCGATCGCGAAATTGGCTTTGCAACTGTTGCAATAGCTCCCGTATGTCCCCGCCCTTGAGCCCTATCTTTGGGTTGAAGAAATGCTGGTGGATTACCTTGAGAACCCGAAGAGCTGTCACCAACATGCTATCGTGCTCGTCCTCATCGTGCACATCCCGCTTCTCGCTCCTGTGAGAGAAGTAGTAATATGGCTCGATCGCTATCAGGTTCTCTGCGTGATCAGGCCACACGGTCTTGGTGTCGTCCAAGATCAGTACGTTGGATTCTTTGGCCAGGACCACGTCGAGGCTCTTGCGGCCTTGGAGCGTGCAGTCCTCCCACGCGATGACTCGGTCGCTAAAGTATTTCCCATCGGGGTCCAGTAACTTCGTCATCCTGGACGAATACACACGTCCACCCATCGTGTAGACCGTGAGCTGGAACATCTCGTGTGCCTCTCTCAAGAACTCCCGCACGAACGGCCTCAGCTTCGTGATGAAACCCTCGCAGGTCTCCGACCAAACCAAGAAGATGTCGCCGCCGCCGCCGCCCGCGGGACCACCTTCCGTGTTCCGCTTGGCCTGGGGCTTGAGCCGCTCCTCCTCCTCGGGGGTGAGATCGGAGAGGCGGACGGTGTGGAGGAGGGTGTGGTCCAAGTCGAGGACCAAGTGGAGCTTCTTCAACCCTAACGCGGCCGCGGTGCTCACCTCGCGCATCCGGTCGGCGTACTCGTGGCTGAGCCTCAAAGAAGGATGGAGGAACCCGAAGGGGAGGCTGTGATCGTCGTCGTCGTCGTCGTCGACGGCGCGTCCGCACAGCAAACAGTTGCCTTCAAGGGTCGCGGGATGCGAGCACTCGACCTTTCGCCGTTTCGCCCGGTCGCTGTCGATCGAACAGGAGGCTGATGGGTTGGGGTAGGCGATGAAGAGGGGCGTGGATTTGCGTAGGTTGGCCATGGCTGGCTGCTGCTTCGAACGACGATGAATTCGAAAACGAGAGACGAGAGAGCGAGGAGGAGGGAGAGTAGCTCTGAAGTGTGTGCGAGTTTTAGGACGGTGTGAATGAATATGACGTTGATGGTACCCTTCGTCCAATAGACACGGTGGTGACACCTGGCAACTTTCCTATTATAAATCTCTCCTTTGACAGATCAAAACTTGTGTTGATGGGTCAAACCCGCCTTGGGATTCTTAGCTGCGTATGCCAATTTGCCAAATAGTGTTTGATTTTGTTCTTTTATTCCCGGAATCAGTTTGGGAATAGAAATCCGTTTGTTTAATTTTTTAATTCTGGGCACAAATTCTTGCAAATTTGTGCCCAGAATCAGTTTTGGAGTAGAATCAAGAATAAAAAAAAAATAGCTTCTTGATTCTGAGAACAAAAATGAGAATCAGTTTTTTTTTCTTCTTCTTTTTCTTGGTTTTTAATGTAGCTTCTAATGTCCGGCGCGAGGGCCACCCTCGCCGCATCTAGCGAGATTAAAATATTTTAATAAAAAAATATTATCAATAAAAAAAAATTTACCAGCCATGGCCAGCGACCAGGCATGACGAAAAAAAATAAAAAATATATTATTAATAATAAAAAATTTTACTGGCCATGGCGAAAAAAATAAAAAAATATTTTCAATAATATTTTAATAAAAAAATACAAAAAAAAATATTTTACCGGCCATGGCCAGCGACTAGGCCATGGCGAAAAAAATAAAAAAAAATAATTTCAATAAAATTTTTTTATTAAAATATTATTAATAAAAATATTATTTTACCGGCCATGGCCAGCGACTAGGCCATGGCGAAAGAAAAGAAAAAAATATTTTCAATAAAATAATATTAAAATATTTATTAATAAAAAATATTTATAAAAAAATATTTTACCGGCCATGGCCAAAAAAATAAAAAAATTTATTTTTAACAAAAGTATTATTAATAAAAAAATATTTTACCGGCCATGGCCAAGAAGGAGGAGAAGAAAAAAAGAAAAGAAAAAAAGAAAGAAATATTAAAATATTTAAAATATTATTAATAAAAAGAAATTTTATGCCATTACCAAACGCATTTATGTTCTTTTACTATTTCAGGAATGGAAATTTTGGGCCGTTACCAAACGCCTTCAAATGCTCAAAATCAGTTTCCGAGTACAAAATCAAAAAGAATCATTTTTTAACAGAATCAGTTTCCGGGCACAGAATCGTTGCCATGCGCACCCTTAGACGGCATCACGTCTCTCCTCCGACACGAATTGACTTATCACGAACATGAAAAATTTCATTGATTAAAAATATATTTTTTAATGTGACCAAGGTTTGTTAACTTCGTTCATTGACTAAATATATTTTAAGTAAATCTACCATTTATCTGAAAAAAACAGAAGAAGAAAAAATGAGTACTAGTCAATGCGTAAAGTTTTCTAATTTCTCTCTTGCATTATCATTTCAGTTGTCTACATGTAGAAATTGATTTCCTAGTAATATATCAGAAGTGATAGATTGACAAAGCAATGACCACACATGACTACTCCCACTTGCTAGCTTTTCTTCTTCTTTTTTCTTTTTTACCATATTAATATATTTTCCCTTACTATCATGGAATTGTCTAAAAAAAGGTAAGTTTCTATGTACTTGACGATAATTGACACACAAAATCCAAATACGAGGTGTTTACAATGTTATGTAAAGCAATCTCAACACAAAATTATCGTATTTGGATCAACGTTAATCATATTTATTGCGAAAAATAAGGAAATAAATCGAACACTAAATTTACATAGTTCAGTCAATGTGACCTACTCCATGGGATGAGCAGCACATTATTCCACTATAAATCAAGCAATAATGGAAATTACAATCACATTCGAATTACTTAAACACTTTTACTGTCTACCAACCCCTACTAATTACTCACAATAACTGACATGGGGCTGATAATTTTTCGTGAAACAATCTCTCAATTTAATAAGGAAATCCACAAATCTTACCATTTCATGATGTAATTCATGAGCATGCCGCACAATTGATTGTTATGACTAAAAGCTATAATATTTGGATCATAAAAATACAAAACTCCTTTTATGCAACTTAAATTGGGAAATCTAATAAAACTATGAATCCAACTCCAATTAGAAAGTATTCCTATTTGGATTTGTTGGAGCGTCAAATCATAAGTCCTATTTAGGTTTGGAATTTTTATTTTACTAGGATTTCCTTCACGGGCTTAAAACTCGAGACATATTCTCAACGATATTTTTATATAAAAAAATATATACATATTTCAAATTTCATTTGACTTTTATCCGACGCCATTTTGATATTATGAAACACACTTTGTTAATTTCACGTCAATATATTTATTTATTTATATATGAGACATGTGCTTTTGCAAAGGAGATCGTGTGGAGGCCTCACGCCTTGTATTTACTGAAATTTAATACATACATATATTATGTGTGTATAATTGCTTCTTGTTACCCAGCAAAGAAGGTCTTTTCTAGTGGCTAGCTCATTTGTGCATACTTCCGCCACTGATGCTTAATTTTCGCTTGTTAATTATCGATTGTTCAAATCTTTTCGGACCTCGTTTTATCGTATGCACATGAGAAGACAAAGGGTCTCACATGCCTTTCTTCTGATTCTACTCAAAATGAGTTAATCCATTTTATCTAAGTGAAAAAAGAAGAAGAAGAAGCCCTTATACTTCGGCGTAATGTCGCAAACTCGCAATGTTATTACAAGATTCTTTTGATTGAATCAAAATAGCCTTTTGTCGCTATTTTCTTGGTCTATCAACTCGATGCAAAGAAATGTAAGCTATATCTTTCTAATCGATTTTACTAAATCAAGGGGTGTCCTAGTAATTTGTCCCAAAAAGTACAATAAATTTAACTGTTTTTCCTTAGTTATATGGGGACTATGACTTAAGAACAGTTTAATTATACAAAGATTGAATTATGATTATATGACTAATCATTACTAATAAGTAATCAGATTGATGCGCAACATGGATGTTAATTTTGTTTTTTTTTTAGTCAAAAGAAATATTGCATTCATTTCTTAGAATAATACTTGAGAGGTACATTGAAGACTTTCAAGCCTAGCAAATTCCAAATAACCGAGTGAAGATTGTGTTGCTCTTACAACAATGAGATTTATTACATGTTATGATGCCCAGTCAATCTTTGAAGATCTGCTTCACCAATGGGAAAATTCCGGCACTCACGATTACTTGAGATTGAGAAGTTGTGATGAACAAATGGCATTTTGACCAATCCTGAATTCACTCTAGCTTTGGGGAAATAGAACGTTAAAAAAGGATTAATTCTCTTGAACTGCAATGTTTCTACTAAAAGTTGTTTGTAATGCCAAGGTAAGCATTTCTCTAGAGCTGTCCTTTGGAAGGATTTTCATGTTTCATCTTCGAATAGCCAGCTAGAAAGGGTCAATATTCTTGCCACATGTCAAAGCATAAATGCATTGACATGGTCAATTTACGAATAGGTTGCATATTGTCATCTTTATCTTCTTTTTTTTTTATGTCGTTAAACACATGCATAATGCGGTATCAATCCTTGACTGGTCATTTTTCAATTGGTACTCATTGAAGGAGAGATCTTAATTCTGACAATCTTGGGAACAGGCTTATCTAGGGGGCCTTCCATGAATGGTCACCCTTATCTCTAAGTTGCGTGGTTTTAACCACTCCTCTTTGGCTCGAGTGAGCCCGTGTCTACTTTCAAGAACAATGCTTGGATGCAGAGCTTAATTGTATTGACTACCAAATCCTAGGAAGCCAAGAAAGTGCTTGAGAGGTTGCAGGGGTGTCCATTAGAATAGTCTTCCTCGCTGTGGCCGAAGCTTTGAAAATATGGACACAATTTTGGTGCATCTCCAAAATGGGCTTGATCATCGGACGTATTGGGGACTCAGCTTTGGACCTGTTGCACTAACACTCGCACTTTCTTGCCCTTGAGCCTTACCTTCGAGTTGCTGCTTGGATCTAGTAAATTCATGGTAACATTTCGGAGAATTTAGTGATATATTATTTTACTTGAATGTTGGTAAATTCCTAATAGTACTAATAATTTACTCACAATGTTGATAAAATTTTTAAGGAGTTGGTAATTTATTGCTTCATTAGAATATTAGTAAAATTCTAATAAAGTTGATAATTTACAACTGATTTTCTAAACGCTCCAGTTATGATCATACTCTTTTTACCAGCATTAAAATTTTCCAATAAAAAATATACCATTGACAAAAATTTTCTATCTTTTACCATGATTAGACCCTAGAATGTCCAAACAAGAAAATCCTAAACACTAGGCATGAGAACACTCTCTTTCTACTCTCCCTTGCTTTTCTCAAACTTTCTTCTCTTGCTTTTCCCAGAGATGCTCTCCCTTTTATAGACAATTTTCCGTAGGACTGTTCATGGACAGCAGTGCTATTATCGGAAGGTTGCAAATTTTCCACATGTTGATCAATTACGAAAGAGCCAAAATTATGTGAATTTGCTATTGAAATTTGAGAGATAGTTCTTTAACCCCGAGTGGCTTTTTTTTTTTTATAACCAAACTCATGAACAAGGTGGTGGAGGGCATCTTTAACATAGTGAATATCTAATATTTTCGACTAAAAGTTCCTGGAATGTGAAAAAATTGAAAAAGAAGAAGAAGGGATTTATATCAATTCTCCATGAGCTTCAAAGTCCAGATATATCCAAAGAAAAAAGTGGTAAACCAATGGACTCAAGGAAAAATAATCCCCTCCAAAAATATCCAAATAAAAACGATGATTTTTAGGAAAATATTTTTCAAATCATTCATTTTTTACGAAATAAATGGAGCATTATTGATTCTTAATTAATGCGGCAAAGCACTCAAAGCATTCTATTGAGGCCATTAAATGCCCTTAGTTATTGAGACAATTCGAACTTCATTGCCCTACTTCATACTATAACAA